TAAATTCTCCCCAGTGCTCGAGGCCCAGCCTGTGTCTCACCTACCCATGGTCAGCCCCTTCAGGTGGGCTCTCTCTCCTCCTGAAGGCTCTGGTTTTGCTCCCACCTCTCATGTCTTGCCTTGAACACATGTCCTGTTTGCTGTATCTAATTGATAATTCACTTCTATTTTGCTTACTTTAATTGCCAGGCCATTTCCACTGCATGACTGTCTCTTACTTTGATGATGTTTCCAATTTCCTTCCCGGGGCACTCAGATGAGAGCTTCTGTAGAGTCTGTACTTGGGGGAGGAAAGGCTAGGTCATGGATACGCTTGCCTTCAACCTGGCAAGATACCACATCATGCCCCTGTCAAGTGGCCTTATCTGTTCCTCCAACAGCCGTGGGGGCCACATTGGGTAGCGCCAGTTTTGTTTTGTTTTAATTTTTGCCAATTTGATGGGTGAGACATAATATCTCATTGTTGTTTTAATTTACATTTCTCTGATACCAGCAAGGTAGAGCCTCTTTTCTCATATGATTATTGGCCATACATACGGGTTTCTTTTCCTAGGAGGTATTTGTTCACAACTTCTGCTGAATTTTCTGTTGGGTTGGTCATCTTCTTGATTTGCAGAAGTCCTTTATATATTCTGGAAACCAATCTCCTGCTGGTCGTATGTATTGCAAGTATCTCCTCCCAGATTGTGGCATATCTTTCAATCTTGTTTATGGTATTTTTTGTTGAACTGAAGATTTGAATGTTAATGTCATCAAACTCATTATATTTTCCTTCACAGCTGATGCTTTTTGCACCTACGATATTCTTCCCTATCAAAAAGCACAGGGAAGCTCTCCGAGTTGCTGGTTGCATCCTATTTCTTGGCGTGGGTGCAGAGTACAAAGCTGGGTTCACTTTGTGAAATTTTATGGAGCTGCACACTTACAATGTGCACTTTTTAAATGCATATTCTAATTAACAAAAGGTTTGTTTAAAAAAGAAATCCTTCCTTACCCTGAGGTCATAAAAATATTCTCCTAGATTTTCTTCTAAATGTGTTAAAAATTTTGTTATTCACAAGTAAGCCTGGAATCCACCTGGAGTTGTGTGTGTGGTGTTAGTTGGGGATCTAATTTTACTTTTTCCATATGGATCACCACTTGTCCCAACACCATTTATAAAAGAGTCTGTCTTTTCCCCACTGGTTGGTGATGCCTCCCCGTCATATAGCAAGTTCTCGTTTATGCAGTTCCACCCCTGGGCCCTTCTTCTCTTCTTCTGTTCATTTTATCTCTTTATAGCCTGATGCTGAAGGTGGTCTGCTTAATTTCCTTAAAAGTTTTTTTAAAAAATAAATTTATTTATTTATTTTTGGCTGCGTTGGGTCTTCACTGCTGCGCACAGGCCTTCTCTAATTGTAGCGAGCAGGGGCTACTCTTCTTTGTGGTGCGCGGGCTTCTCACTGCAGTGGCTTCTCTTGCTGCGGAGCACGGGCTCTAGGCACGCAGGCTTCAGTAGTTGTGGCTCACGGGCTCTAGAGCACAGGCTCAGTAGTTGTGGCGCAGGGGCTTAGTTGCTCTGCCACATGTGGGATCTTCCCGGGCCAGGGCTCGAACCCGTGTCCCCTGCATTGGCAGGCGGATTCTTAACCACTGCGCCACCAGGGAAGTCCCAAAAGTTTTAATATTTAGTAGGACACAGTGGAGGACTTGAAGACAGGAAATGGTGGAGTCAGAATGACGCTGTGTCGAGGTCACTTTGATGATTGAAGAAATGGATTTTAGAGGCCAAGGCAAAGGGTCAAGAGTCCAGCTGGTGGCTGCTGCAGTATCCAAGCCAGAGGGGAGCAGCATGGCCGAGGCGTGGGCTGATGTTGGATATGTAATGGATGTAAAGCAGACAGGATTTGCTGATGGATCAGAAAAATTGGGGATCAAAGATGACTCCTTTTTTTTTTGGCCAAAGTAGCTGGTGGTGCCATTTGCTGAGATGGGAAGGCCTGGGGTGAAGCTGACAGGTGGGCCCTTAGAAAGTGCCTGACAAATGAATGAATGAATGAATGAGAGTGGGGGTTGGTGGGGGGAGTGAGCCGGCAGGGCCGCCCCACCTCCTGCAGCCCTTCCATCTGATGCCTTAGGGAGGATTAAGCACCATCCTCCTAGTTTAACACCATTAGTTGTTTCAGCACATGTGTGTCATTTCTCCCAACCACTGTCATCGCTGGTGGGGAGGAACATCTTCCCTGTCCGTGCGATGGCACCTCCCCACCCCCGCCCTGGCTCAGAGCAGGGCCCCCAGATTCACGGTCCCAGGACACTGGCCTCCAGACTCACAGGAGGTGCGAGGCACCTGGGGAGGACTGAGCAGGCCGCTGAGGCTGCAGGACCAGCTTTGTTACTCAACTCCCTCCTCAGTAAAGGAAGTGGCCTGGGTGAGTCTCCAGTCATTTGAGGGTGGGGGGTGGGCAGGGCCTGTGCTATCAGCCAGGGTGAAGGAAGGAGCCCCTGGCACGTGGGCATGAAGGAGGCCCAGCCACCACTGTGGAGAAGCTTATAGCCTCAGAGGCCCTGCCTGTGTGTGGGGTCTCTGACCAGGGCGGGTTTTTTTGCTGTTTACAGCCTGCTTCTGGCTCATCATCCCCGGCTATTATGAAAACACCTTTAGTGCATAAAACGTGGAAAATTGCGTCTGAGCACTCAAGCTGAGTCATTTTTCTGAGCAAGCCTTCAGTCGGGGCAGTGTTTTGGGTGGGGTGGGGCTCTGTGTAGGTCTGCGTTTAGCCTGTGGGCAGCCCCAGGTGGCCTGGCCAGCCGGCCAGCTCGAGGCCCAGGGTGCAGGCTTCGTTCTTAAAATCAAGAATGATTTTAAGCCTCTTGTGTGTGTTGAGAGTGAAGCCCTGTCACCAGGATGGCTGAAGAGCAGGGAGGGACCCCTGGGTTCTCAAGTCTCCAGATAAAAATGGGGGCGTGTTGGGCCAGGGTGGGGGGAAAGATGAGGAAGAGAAAGGGCAGGGAGCGTCTCAGCTGGGGGTGGGGAGGAAGGCCAGGCTCAGCCTGTGTCCTTCGCTGCCCGTGCACCCGGGAGCCCTTGGCTTGAGCACTGTCCATCCCACCACAACCCTGGCCAGGGGTGACCTTCACACTGGGGCCCGGCATGACTCTTGGCTGTAAGGGAAGGAGGGACGAGGGTGGGAGAGGAGAAACCAGTCTTTCTTAAGCAACTACTTCACGCCAAGCCCTTGGCTAAGCTTGTTCTTAGGGCCTCGCGCCTGGTCCAAGAATGCTGGATGCTTGCCGGCTGCAAGGCCTTGGGCCAATGACTTCACCTCCTAAGTGCTCTGTCCTCATCTGCCTCATCTTCCTCATCTGGCCTCAGGCTTGTTGTGAGGATCAAGTGAGATGATGCAAAGGCACAGTCAATAAATGGCCCTTCATGTTTTTATAAACAGTAATGATATGGTTCACATTTATTGAGTACACCCTGTACCAGGCTCTATGCTAAGTGTTTTCCTCACAGTAACTGACTTGATCCCCCCCCCGGCAACTGTGAAGTAAGTTTAGTCCCATTTTATAGCTGAAAACACTGAGGTGCAGAGACATTAACTTGTCCAAGGCCACAGGAACACTAACGCTGGAGCCAGAATTCTGACCCAGGGGATAATAATTTATGTATTATTAAATACATCAAGTCAGTTGGATTAAATTGGTGTTTCTCAATGTGAATTCTCCAGAACCTTTGCCTTTGCTCCATTTAAAAACTTTGCTTCACCATCCGATAAGCATGTACAATGCTGGAACATTGCATTCTCCTTCTGAGAGATTCATAGGTCACTCTGATACATCAAAGGCTCTCAGATGTGCAGTGATGAAAAGGGAAAAAGCAAAGAAGCTGTTTATGTTTAACCCAGCATTTCCAAGCTTGTCTGCTCTCAGAGCCTTATTTCTGAGATGCCCTTAATAAGATGAAGCTGGAGACGTACACATTTTCACGAGGCACTGCTGACCTTCAACTGCTGCATCACAGGTCTTTTACTGTCTTATGGGGGCACCCCGTGGACCACCCTGGTTTAAGGACCCTGTATTGTTCCTTTGTTCTCTCATTCATTCATTCAACAAATGTCTCTTGAGTTCTCACAGGCACAATGACAGGTAGAGAAGATGCAACTTCTATTTATTTATTTATTTTCGGCTGCACTGCAAGGCATGCAGGATCTCAGTTTCAAAACGAGGGACTGAACCCATGTCCCCTTCAGTGGAAGCACAGAGTCTTAACCACTGGACTGCCAGGGAAGTCCCAAGAAGATGCAACTTCTTTTTTAAGAATCTCATAGTCTGACGGAGGAGACAGTGTGATCAGAAGTTGCAGGGACTCAGGGGCTGAGTGGATGGCACCTACCCCGCCTGGAGCCAGGGAGGGCGTCCTTGAGGAGGCGTGGCTTCAAGCAGGTCAGGTGAAGAACGTTGGGTGGTCAAGGCTGAAGGTGAGTCTTTGTACAATCTGTGGAAAAGCTCTGCAGTATCTCAACTTGCAGGACATCCCTGGGATTATCGGATTCCAGTCTATGAAGGCTATTTTACAACTCTGCAAATTGCAGGTAACTGATAGTGATTCAAACTAATTCCTGTCTACACTGTAGATTCTGAACCGATCTGTAGAACAGACTGACTTCCCCTCCTCAGTATTGCCTCTGTGTCCACATTCGTTTCAATAGTCCTGATCAATAAATGTGTCTGTTCTTCACATTCTCTTTTGAACTGATTATAATACCTCTCTTATTGATTTAGGAGTATAATACACTCTTTTTTTTTTTTTGCGGTACGTGGGCCTCTCACTGTTGTGGCCTCTCCCGTTGCGGAGCATAGGCTCCAGACGCGCAGGCTCAGCGGCCATGGCTCACGGGCCCAGCCGCTCCGCGGCATGTGGGATCTTCCCGGACTGGGGCACGAACCCGTGTCCCCTGCATCGGCAGGCGGACTCTCAACCACTGCGCCATCAGCGAAGCCCATAATACACTCTTTAACACCTGTTCATTTTTATATATGTGTGACAGTCACGATTCTACCTCTTTCTAAAAGGATAATAGCAGGAGGCTCCCCAGGCAGAGGGACACACAAGCAAAGGCCCGGAGGCTTGCCATCAGCACCTGGCAGTGAGCAGCGGGTGGGATGACCCAGATTCTCACCGGAGCAGACGGTCAGGAGTTGCCGAAATGGGCTGGTTTTTCAGCCTCCACTTACGAAGGGTGGAGGCAGCTGGAGTAAAACGAAAACATGCTAGTTGCCAGGCATCGATGTGTATGGAAACTGGGGACTGCGCGGCTCTGTGTCACCTCCTGATTAGTGTGTCTGCAGGGGAGTTGAATGCACTTCTGCAGTGGGATCCATTGCCTCTTCTGACACCGCCATTGAAGCAGTCTTTCCTCACCGGCGGTCAGGGAGCAGACAATCGGCATGGCCACTTTGTTTAATGAGCTCGCCCTGGCGCACAGACGCAGGGAAAACTTACTAAGAACAGAAGTGAGCAGGGACACCTGAAGCCTTGTGTCTGAAACCAGGCTTGTTAGAATCCCCAATCCTAGGCACCAGAGCCCTTAAGTTAATTAGCTAAAAAAATTCCTGAAATGCACAAAAGGTGAAAGAAACTGGACTCTCTATCTAGGGATGTCATATAATATATGTACCATTTGAAGGAAGCTGGCTTGGGCTCCTCCAGCCTCGCCGCAAGTGACCTCAGGCTCTGGGGGAAGGATTTCTTCATTTCTCTTCCTCCTCTCTTGTTAATTTGTTGCTGGTAGCTCTGGCTGAAGTGCTGATGGAACCCCCCTTTCCTGTCCTCCCCAGGGTGGGTCCTGTTTGGGGGCCCTCGGCCAGGCACGGCTTTGTCCCCATTCCCTGCCGGTGTGCCACTGTCAGGGTGTTCAGTGGGGCACAGCACTGGGCATCTGTGATGTGCCAGGCTCTGTGCTGGGTACCCATGACCCAGACCCACTCTGCTGTCACAGAGCTCACTACCATGCTGAAGGGTCAGGGCTGTGGGCACAGGGGAGGCCCCATTGGATGTTCCTGCATCAGTGGGGGACCCCGTGTAGGCAGCTGAGGGGCCAGAGCTGGCAAAGGGGAAGGAAATGGCCATCCAGTCTCAGTACCTGCCCAGACTGGCTTCTGAGCTCACGTAGACACTCTGGACAGACTCCCAGGAATGCAGGGAATGGGGCTGAGGGACTGGGGCGATGGCTGGACCCATTTCCCTGGGACTGGGTGGTCACTGCGCCTTCCCTGAACCCCTCAGGCCTTCTGTATGGGTGGGGCCCCTACATCCCCTTCTTCCCTGGCAGGCAGCCCAGCATGAACCTCTCTGCTCCCCAAGCTCTGCTTTCTTGTCTGAGTTGCATAACAATCTGCCCAGACCAGCTCTGTACCTTGTGCACCCAAGACTGTAGCCCAGCACTGACCTTTGGCTAAAAAACCCCAACTAGCCAACCAAACAGACCTCTGGCATAGGGAAAGGCTATTGGTGGTTCTGGGCAGTCTTTCTGGGCAACTGGCTCTTGGGGACTGGCTGGGCCTGGAGTGAGCTTGGGTGAGTCCCAGTGAGGGGTCCTCCTGGAAACTGTGTCCTCCTGGGGAGAGGCCCAGCATCCCATCTGTGGGGCCTGCCTGGAGAATTTATCCTACACACACACACACACACACACACACACACACACACACACACACACACTCATGCAAAGGGATGTCATCACAAGGGTAGTCATCACAGCACTGTTGTCTTAGCAAGACTAGAAATAACCTACGTATCCAACAGTGGGGGAGGGGGATAAGGGATTCCGGGCGTCCCCTCAGTGGAGTGCTGCAAGCCCGGAAAAAGAACGAGAGTCCCTGGAGTGTGCTCACAGGGGAGGGGGCAGCTCCTCTGTGCCCATCCCTCAGAGGCTGCTGTAAACCCTGCAGCCGGGGCTCCCATGTCCCTTAGAGGCCCCCTCCCCATGCAGCCTCACTCAGCGCCCTCTGCATCACACTGCTCTGTCCCTGCTGGGTACTGGGGCTGGGGCAGAAAGGTGAGCTGGAAGACCTCAGAGCCAGGTGGGCTGCCAATCCCAGCTGTGTGGCCTACAGCAACCTATGCGCTGCTTTTTTGCCTCAGTCTCCCCATCTGTAAAATGGGGACAATTTACCTACCTCGCAGGTGAGGTGAGCACCTGGTACACAGAGTAGGTGTCCGACAGAGGGGAATGTGACTTTCAGGTTCTGCCCAGTGGGAACTGTGGGCGTGCAGATCAGAGGCCGGGTGGGTTCAGGAAGGTGGGGGAGCCGCGGGCAGGGAGGAGCAGGGGCTCAGGCTGCGGCCTTGCCTGTCACATGCTCTGTGTGCGCCCACGGCAGACGAAGGGAAGAGTTCACGCCGCTGTTTCCTGAGGGAGGAGGAGGCACATCAGGCGACACAGGGTGACAGCCCCAGCCCTCACCCCGCCCCCCCCCAGCCCCCGCCTGTATGGAGATTCACCTGGCACTGCTGGGGTGGTGGTGACCTCAATTCACCCACGGGTGCTGCGGGCTTGCCCCAGAGCTGCGTTTGCTCAGTGAGCTCGCTACGTGAATAGAGAAAATGATTCGAGGGAACTTCTGGGGGAGCTGGTGGATACTGTGTGGGGTGATGCTTCCCAGGGTTCTAAGGGGCACAGGGTATGCTGAGCTGGAAGGTACGGGGGTCTGAGAAGGAAGTTCCCACTGGGCCTGGAGGCCGGGGACCCAGCCCTGCCCGGGGTCCTCCATGGTGTCTGAAGGTGTCCGACCCCCTGGACCCACAGACCCTCAGTGGGCTCTGTAGGGAATCTCTTTCCCCTCAGGAAAGTTGGACTTTTTTTCTCAATTAAACTCTTCATCACTTTTCTTTTGTTACTGACTTGATGATTTCCCCCTTTCACTTCCCCTCCTCCTTTAAGCTTATATCTCATTGTTATTCTTTTAATAAACTTTAAAATAAGAAATACATGTTATCTTTTTTATATCTTTCAAGGACCCCATGAAGAAGATTTACAATGTCCTTATTAAAAAAAAACAAACAGGGCTTCCCTGGTGGCCCAGTGGATAAGAATCTGCCTGCCAACACAGGGGACATGGATTCAATCCCTGGCCGGGGAAGATCCCACATGCCGCGGAGCAACTAAGCCCGTGCACCACAAGTACTGAGTCTGTGCTCTAGAGCCCGTGAGCCACAACTACTGAGCCCGCGTGCCTAGAGCCCGTGCTCTGCAACAAGAGAAGCCACTGCAATGAGAAGCCCACGCACCGCAACAGAGAGTAGGCCCCGCTCGCTGCAACTAGAGAAAGCCTGCGCGCAGCAACAAAGACCCAATGCAGCCAAAAATAAAACAAACAAATAAATAAATTTATAAAACAAACAAACAAAAAGGGACTTCCCTTGCAGTCCAGTGGTTAAGACCTTGCACTTCCATTGCAGGTGGTGCAGGTTCTATCCCTGGTTGGGGAACTAAGATCCCACATGCCTCCACACAGAGCGGCCAAAAAAAAACCAACCAAAAAAACAAACATACAATGTCCTTATTTTTCAGATGAGGAAATAGTCAGCGAGGACAAGGGACCTGGCTGAGGTCACCCTACTGGTAAGAGGCCAAGGCCCAGTCTCACTCACATGCCTTCCTGGCTCCCCGACACCAGGCCCCGGCTGGCACTGGGCCATAGGGCTGAGCAGAGCAGGCTGGCCCACGGGGGCCAGGGCAGTTCACAGCCCACAGAAGCGGGCAGGGGCCTGACCTGTGGGTTTGGGAGGTATGTCAGGGAGGCCTCCAGAGGAGGGGGTCTTGGGATCTAGGGGTGAGGGAAGGAAGGGGATTCTGGTGGAGGAAAAAGCACGTGCAAAGGCCAGGTGGTGTGGGGAAGGCAAACTTAGGCCAGGGTGGCTAGAGTGAGGGTGCAAATGGAGAAGGATGGGGTCAGGGCTGCACTCAAGAGGTGGGAGTGGGAGGTAAGGGTAGTGGAGTCAGATGGGGCTCAGTGCCCCCAAGGCTACAGGGAGGAGAACCCTGGCCGGGCACGTCCCAGACACTTACCAAGGCTGGGCCGGGCCCTCAGCTGCCTGGGTCCAGGGCCAGCTAGAATGGGCATCTTGTCTCACAGGCTTAGGATCCCAGGACAGGAACAGGAAACTCTGGCCGAGGAGCCAGGAGACAAGCTCAATGGTTCTTCCAGCCGAGAGGGGCTGAAGATCCTGGAAACCAACTCCCCTCTTCAGCTCTTCCCAGGACTTAGGTGCCCAGGTCGGGATCTGCAGAGACTCTGGGTCCTCATGCTGCCTTCCTAAAAACCTTATTTACATTAAAGTGTTAATGACTCATACAGCTTACAATGTAGTGGTTTCTCCACTCCGGCTATTCAGAAGAATCATCTGAGGTGTGTGTGAAGGTAATGACCATTGTTTATATAAAAATGACACATGCTCGTTCTCAGACAAAACAAAACAAGCAATCTAGAAAAGTACAAAGAAGGAAGCCATAAATCCCTCCATTAGAATGCCAACTTCCTGAGCACAGGATTTTTATCTCTTCTGTTCTCTGCTGTATTCTCAGCTCCTAGAGCTTTCTGGCACAGAGTAGATGCTTAATACAGCCCATCATTTACTGTTAACATTTGGTGAACGTCATCTGTACACAGAGAACTTTGGAGAGACAACAAGGTACAGGTAGAGAGAAAGGTAAATAGGTGGAAATAATTTTTAAAAATGGGATTGTACCACACGTGCTATATTTTAAACTACTTAATTTTAATTGAGTTTAACAGAAAGAAAATGAAAAAATTGCTGAATCTTAAATAAATTTTTACTTTCCACAGAGATATTAGTTCATAATGAATGTCTCTAACAGTAAGAAAAAAATTATGAAACTCATTAAGAGATTGGAGTCTTGGGGAAAAAGAATAAACCCTTCACTTTTGGCAGGCTCAGTATTTCTTGGGATGAAAAAGATGATCACTTCCTGTATACATCCTCCCTCCTCACACGCTACAGTTCCTGATTTTGATGCTAATATTTTCACTTTGTCAAGGTTTATAACACATATTCTGTTCTGCAACTATAATTCTCCTAGTATTTCGTCTTAGTCCTGTACTTAAATAGATTCCATTCCATTTTTTAAGCTCACTGTGCCCCTGAGTTTTGCACTCGGAGTCATTTCTTGGCTGAATCAGGAAAATCTGTGAAGGACTTTGAATGAGACCAACAACAAAAAAGACTGGTGGGTGTCCTGCATGTAGGGACTCATGCCATTCATTGTCTTTGAGCAAATCTAAGTTGTAGAAAACCTAGAGTAGGGCTTGTCTATCAGAAATGCAAATGGATTTTGTCCAGTGGAATACAACTGACTGCTGTCTGTGGCCATTCATCAGTTTTACACGTATATGTAAATTCATTTCAGTATTTCTTATCCGCCTATATATGTGTGTGTTGTTCCAATTTTCCTTTGAATCAATTGGAAAATATTACTTGTTCCCTAATTACTTAATGAGTTTAATAAAAATTTTGACATGTGTTCATTTTATATTGTCTGAGAGTCATGATTTTACCTTTGAAAAATGGACACTTTTTTTTTGGCTGTGCTGAGTGGCTTGCGGGATTTTAGTTCCCCAACCAGGGACTGAACCTGGGGCCACGGCAGTGAAAGTGCCGAATGCTAGCCACTGGACCGCCAGGGAACTCCCCAAAACGAACACTTTTAATGGTTAGCTAGATTTCATGGCTGAGTATGGTTTTTTTTTTTTTTTCTTCAAAAAAAGGCTCAAGGGTGCTATTTTCCTCGACCCTTTCCATGTTGTCTACGAATCCAAACAACCTTACTGGGTGTCAAATTCTTGGTTTCCCCCTTTCCATACCACTTTGAACACTCAGCTCCCTTGTCTTCTGGTCCTGAATGTTGCTGTGGAAAAATCTGAGGCTGTCAACCAAAAAAAAAAAACAAAAAACAAAACAACCCTCACAAGGCTACAAATAAGGAAAGAGTTTATTTGGGGTCTTAAGGATTTTAAGTCAGGAGACACAGACTTGGGTAAAACCAAAGAAGTGTTCCAGGGGAGAGGAAGAGTCAGGGGCTTGTAAAGGCAAAAGCCACGAGGCTGTGCTGACGCAAGAAAGGAAATATTTGTCCTTAAGGGATTGGCTGTCATGAATTATTTGAGGGTAAGGGTCCAATATGTATCTGGAGTTTCTGGGACATTGGACAGATGTTCTGGATGCCTGTGTTAAGACGAGAAGATTCCATCTGGGCTGAGGCATGCTTAAGTCACACTCCCTCAGTGGCCTCCGGCTCCATTTTAGAGAGCTCCCTTAGCAATACTGACTCCACTTTTATTTTCTTTTCATGAGGCCAGACTGATTTTTCTCTCCCCTCATTGTTGACTTGGTTTTTCCTCATGGGTGCCTGAAGGGTTGTTTTCTTTATCCTTAAAGTCCAGCAACTCCACCGGATTCAGTGTGCTCCCGGTGTTGATCAGTCTGAATCCCTCTTGTACCCTTTCAATCAACACAGTGGGTTCTCCCTTTGGTTCAGGGAGAGTTTCTCTAAACATTCTTTTGCTTTAGCTGTTGGATAATCTACTTCAGGGACTCCAAGCCCTCTGAGGTGGGAAGGTCTGTGTTCCATAATGATCATCTTCTCTTTAGTTGTTTGAATTTATGTGTCCTCTTTCTCTGAATTCACTGTGACTAGTTCAAGTTTCTCTCTGTGCCATGAATTTGCTTTTCAGACCTGGGCCCTGTGTTGTAACTCCGTTTTTAGATGTGCAGTGGTCCTGCTTGGGTCCTTAGTGTGTGTCCTTTCCTCTTCAAGCTCTCTTTGCATCTCCTGATGCTATATATATATATTTTAAATTAATTCATTTATTTTTGGCTGCGTTGGGTCTTGGTTGCTGCGTGCGGGCTTTCTCTAGTTGCAGCGAGCGGGGGTTGCTCTTTGATGCAGTGCGCAAGCTTCTCATTGGGGTGGCTTCTCTTGTTGTGGAGCACGGGCTCTAGGCACACAGGCTTCAGTAGCTGTGGCTCGCGGGCTCTAGAGTGCAGGCTCAGTAGTTGTGGCGCAAGGGCTTATCTGCTCCACGGCATGTGGGATCTTCCCGGACCAGGGCTCGAACCCGTGTCCCCTGCATTGGCAGGTGGATTCTTAACCATTACGTCACCAGGGAAGCCCCTGATGCTATTTTTTAATCGTCTCTCCTCTGTGCTCTTTTTATATCCGACTCATCTTCTCATTAACTTTTCTCTCTCCTAAAGCTATTAGTTTCAGGGAAGCTGCCTTTGATCCTCAGCCCCATCCCCTCCCAGCCGTGCCCTCATAAGATTTTCTTCCCCTTCCTGGCAGTTGGCAGGGTGGCCTTGCGAGTTCTTTTCATCTTGCTCAGTTAATTTAGCAACTCCACCACTTCTCACATGGGAACCAGGCTGCCTTCCCCCAGAAGGAGGGTTTCGAGAGCTGTGTTGTTTTTAGTCTGCTTTTTGGGAGCCCAAATGTGCAGGGGTTGGGGGAGACTCCCCCCACCGAGGCCACCCTTGCTGGGGGCACAGGTCTTCTGTTTCCTGCCATCCCTCACATACCCTGCACCCCAGACCCCCTCTGCCCAGCCAGTCAGGCCTGTGTCCTACTCCCATGTCCCAGGCAGCCCAGGATTCGTGAGGATGGAGGGCCCTGGAGGCCACTGCTCTGGAGATTGTCGGCTCATTCTCTTCATAATTTGTCGTTGTTGCTCACTTTGTCAGGTACTGGGGTAGGGAGAGTCTGTGTTCTCCCCTCACTCTGCCTTCTAAAGTCTGAAATCCTCTCCTAGGCAGCCTCTTAACAAATGCAAATCTCCAGGTCCTGCCCACCCAGAGGCCTAGAGGCCCAGAGACTCGGATGCTGTGGGTCTGGGTGGGACCTCTCCCTTCCCATCCCAAGTGATGTGGGTGTACAGGTCAGGGTTGAGGACTGCTGAGTCACTTACCAGGGCCATTTACATTTTTGTCAGATCAAAGGAATGTGTCTCATTATGTAAAATCACATGGCTATGAACATTTCATAGTTTTGGAATGTCCTAGTGGGTGGGCATATTGGATCACTCATTCTATTGGTGAGGATTCTGAGGCCCAGAGAGGGAAGTGACTTGCCCAAGGTCACGTAGCAAGTCAGCAACAGGTTTGAAGAACTGAACAGACAGGTTTGAAGAACTGGAAATTCCAACCCCAGATATGGGGCCTCGGGATCAGGGTAGCCAACTTCAGAGGGCAGGAAGGTCTCTGCCTGTGGCATGAGCAGCTCACTTCCCATCTTGGGGCCTTGAAGAGAATATGTGGTTGTGGCCCTTCCCCTGGGGAAATTCGGTCCGGAGCGTCACTGGGGACGGGGGCCAGGCCAGGAGGCACACCACCAATCCAAGCCCTCCCAGGAGGAGTGACCCCACTTCCCCTCATGCCTGCCTCACCCCATTCACCCACTGCCCCATAGCCACGCTCTCATCACCAGCCCAGGACCTGGTCAGGACCTTGGGCCAGGTGGCAGGTTGAGTTGTCCTGGTGAGGAAGCAGCATCAGAATAGATGGGGAATCTGGGATCAAGGCTAAAAAAGGGTCGGTCAGGCCTTTCTGGGAGGGTCCCGCACCTGCCCAGGGAAGGGGCTGCAGGAGCAGTATGGGCCATGACAGGGCAGTGCAGCTTGACCCTCCATCAAGAGGATGGGCCAGGGACTTCCCTGGAGGTCCAGTGGTTAAGACTCTGCGCTTCCACTGCAGGGGTGTGGGTTCAATCCCTGTCAGTGAAGATCCCGCATGCCGTGGGACTTGGTCAAAAAAAAAAAAGGATGGGCCAGGAGCCTCTGGGCAGCTGGGTCGAGCTCTCAGCGTGTCCTGGGTGTTGTCAGCCCCCGGCCTGTTCTCGTCCTGCCCCACCAGCCTGGTGACATCAGGCAGCCTGAGGAGAATCCCGGGCCCAACACCTGCCTGGTTTCAGGGCTCAGCTGCCTCAGGGACTAGCAGGACCCTCTCACAGGTTGCGGTAAGGGTGGATTCCTGTAAAGGCATGGGAAGCGCAGGCTTCCTGTAATGGAGCTGCTGAGCTTGGAATAGATCCATTCCACAGGGAAACAAGAAATACTTGATTGGAGTATTTTTGTGAGGAGATGGGGAAAAGGAATCTCATCCTTCCCCATAATAAAGCTGCAACTGCTTTTCTCTCTGGGCCATTTCTGCTCTTTCCTTGCTAAATGCCCCCTCCTCCTCCTCTCCCACCCCCACCTGGATTCCTCTCTGTTGTTCAATCCCAGCCCTCTGTTTGCACAGCTCTTACCAAAACAGGGGGGGCTGACAGTAGCCCCCGAGGGTGTCCCGCTGAGCGTGTGAATGAGGATGGTGGCCACGGCTTGCCCAGCGCTTGCCATGCTCTGGGAAGTCCAGGAAGCGAGCCTTGTGGCAGGACCGCCCTGACCCCATTAGACACAGGAGCGCCCAGGGAGAAAGTGCCAATTTGGGATTCAGACTCAGGCCACCCAGGCCCCAGCTGCTGCTGCAGCCGACCTTGAACCCATCACAACATGCACGGGCTTCTTGGCTCTACAGCAAGCCCAGGAGGAGACAGGCCAGGTATCTACCACCATCCCACCAAATCCCATTTTTCAGATGAGAAAGCGAGGCTAAGGGAAGCTAAGGGCTCACGTGGCTGATATGCCCCAGAGCCTGCACTCACCCTGTTCTGCAGCTCTTTCGACTGTTTTAGTCTGAGCTGCACCATGGACTCTGTACACCTCTCCATGCCCGATCCTCCGGCTGTCCCGGCCACCCTGCCGAGCACACCATCTGCTTGGTCTGTGATGGGGCAGCTCCCTTCCTCTTCCCCAAGGCTTGTCTCCCCCACCAGATTGCAGGCAGCTGGTCATTATGGCGAACTGTCATCAGGCTTTTTTGCCTGGTGTTTACAATTCCTAATTTGTTCTCCCCATTTTGTAGTGTTGAGTCCTCTCCTCACTTTGGAGAAGGCTTGGCTCTCAGGTAAGGACGTGCAGAGCTAGCTCAGTCCTGGGTCTTGGTTTCAGGGAGCCCCTGTGTGCTCCTTGGGAGGAGCTGTACTGTCCAGGGAGCCTGCTGAGGCCTTCTTCAGCCTCTCTGAGGCAGGGTCTCTTAACTTTCTAGGGGTGCTGGTCTCTTTGACCATCTGAAGAAAGTCGTGACCCTTCTCCCAGAAATCTGCACAGACATACAAAAAGAGTACATACAATTTAGAGGTTTATACACCCTCTGACATCCATCCCTGGGTCTTCCAGGGGTTCCTAGAGTCTGTATTGAGACCTCCTATGTTAGGAGGTGCTGTCTGCCAATTTCCAGAACCCAGAATCTGGTTGCTTATGATGATTAGATAGCTGGATGTGTCCATACCTGAAGGAGGCTTTTTTTTTGCTTTTTGTAGATTCATTTACTGCTTTAAAGTTTTTAACTGTTCAGCAGTTACAGGAATTTTTTTTTAATCAGAAAGAAAAATATTTACATCTCAAATACAAAAGAAAATTTTAAATTATTCTTGGTTGATCTCTAAAACCCAACCACTTACATGCTCATGATTTTTTTTTTTACCAACCCACTTTATCTATTCAACATGTGCATCCTGTGTACTTACTAAACATTTACTTGCACTTGTATTTTCTGTGTCAGGTTTATTCTCTCACCCTGGAGAGAGATTTCACATGTTGCTTCCTCTTCTCAATTGCATTGTCAGGATTAAGGCTTATGGCATCAAAAGTTCCTTTGTCAATACAAATATGAAATCCAGACAGCTTTGTGGAAGGATTCAAAAAGTCGTCTTCTTTTTTTTATAACTTAAAAAAAAATTAATTAATTAATTAATTTTTGGTTGCACTGGGTCTTCATTGCTGCATGTGGGCTTTTCTCTAGTTGCGGCGAGCGGGGGCTACTCTTCACTGTGGTGTGCAGGCTTCTCATTGCAGTGGCTTCTCTTGTTGTGGAGCATGGGCTCTAGGTGCACGGGCTTCAGTAGTTCTGGCACGCGGGTTCAGTAGTTGTGGCTCTCGGGCTCTAGAGCACAGGCTCAGTAGTTGTGGCACACGGGCTTAGTTGCTCAGCAGCATGTGGGATCTTCCTGGACCAGGGCTCGAACCCGTGTCTCCTGCATTGGCAGGTAGATTCTTAACCACCGACCCACCAGGGAAGCCCCCAAAAGTCTTCCACGTTCAACATAATGTTAGATAAACCTTCTTTCTCTGTAATACTTCCAGAAAGCTGTATTGCAGAAGGAGAGTAATCCATTTCAGAAATATTAGAGAAACCAAATTTTGCCTCCTATTCTTTTAGTGATCTCAAGCCATATTCTTCAAGATCTTCATTTTCTCCCAGTTTCCCTCATTTCCTTCTCTATCAGACCAACAAGGTTAGCCAGTAGAACGCCATTCCCGTCCCAGTATCAAGCACTGATGCATCCAATGGAATCTTGTGTTTCTGCCTCCACCTTATTAGTCAAGCCATAACCAGATCTCTCCTGTATCCCCATACTCTTGGCAAGTTTGCAGCTCTCTCTCATAGACAGCATCCCAATGCTCTCAGGTGCCCAGTGCAGACGGGGTGAAGTCATCCTCTCCAGGACTGCCCTCTCGGGTGGTGGCTTTTTTTGAGAGAGCAATTTCAAAAAAAGGATCAAGTTGAGAATGGCTGAGCTGAGTGAGGACTACATCCAGTTTATTCGCCAGTCAATTTCTGCACAGATATATGCAACAGACAACACATGGGGGGGTCTATGCTACAATAACAAAAGTTCATGTTCAGTGAGTGCCAGGCAGTGTGCTACCTGCTGATCACGCATTATCTCATTAAACCCTCATAACAATCAATCCCATAGGGTTATGCTATTATGATCACTCTCAGGCACAGAGAAGTTAAGTAACTTACTTAAGGTCACACAATAAATGGATTCAGTTGGCCTTTGACCTCAAGCACTCTGACTCTAGAGCCATTTGATAGTCTTCCTTGCTATGAACTGGTGAAACACAGCCCACGGGGTGACTGGCCCCATCCTGTTCTGAGGTTTGGCTTTGGATGTTGTAGGGTCAAGGCAAAGGGACCAGGCTCTAAGTGGATGCTGAAATGACGGTTTTCTGGAGCGCCTCTGTAGCACACTGGCGCCCCAAGCCCCCTATCTCAAATCCCCAGTGGACTGTATCATGAAGTGGCATTTGCCTGGCTTGGCAGGGAGACAGAAGTCCGCTCTCCAGCAAATTTGGGAGGTCATGTGACCCCATTTGACTCCATAGGCTGGCAAGGACTGGGAAATCTCAACTTACACTCTTTCCACCGCTTTTAAGGTTTCCTTTACCTCCAGTGCTCTCTGCAAAGCGCCTGTGGGAAACAGCGTTCCTGCTTCTGCTTCCCTGTTGCCGAGTCTGTTGAAGACGTACTTGGATGCTGGAGGAGCTTTTCTGTGACAACAGACCCCTTCCTGCAAATAGCTCTCACCAAGCAAGGCTGTTCCACCTGCACATTCCTAAACACCCTCTGGAGGCTTCCGGCCCACCCTAAAGGCTCGGCTGACATTGCGGGAAACCAAGTATGAAAGAGGTTGCCTTGCCCAAGGCCCAAAGTTAAGTTCCCAGCAGCTAAGGTTTGTAATCACCCTGAGAGCTGACCCCTGGTGCCCTTTCCTCTGCCCTAGGCAGGTCTCAAAATGTGGGCCCGGGGACTTCCCTGGTGGCACATTGGTTAAGAATCGGCCTGCCAATGCAGGGAACACGGGTTCGATCCCTGGTCCGGGAAAATCCCACATGCCGAGGAGCAACTAAGCCCGTGTGCCACAACTACTGAGCCTGCGCTCTAGAGCCCTCGAGCCACAACTACTGAGCCCACGCGCCACAACTACTGAAGCCCACGTGCTTAGAGCCCGTGCTCCGCAACAAGAGAAGCCACTGCAATGAGAAGCCCGCACACGGCAAGAAGAACAGCCCCCGCTCGCTGCAACTAGCAAAAGCCCACGCGTAGCAACGAAGACCCAAAGCAGTCAAAAAGAAGAAAAAAAAGTGTGCCCGGGGTGGCTGGTGGCCTCAGCATCACCAGGGAGCATGTTAGAAATGCAGACCCTTAGGCCCCAGCCCAGGTCTTCTGATCCAGAAACTGTTTCACCCAGCCCTCCAGAGATGCTGAACCTTTGAGAACCACTGACCTAGGCTTCTGCCTTCTCAGCTGGGATGAAGCTCTGCACAGGTAGCGATTATTAGTTTGAATTCCAAGTCTTCCATGCATTCTGGTCTTCCCCACACGTGAGTGGACTTCAGAAAATCAGTAAATGGGGAAATTGGCCAGCTTTCTGAGAATGAGTAAGACACTAATAATCAAAAGCATCAATGCACACATACAAAAGGAAATCTAAGTGAATACTAAGGCCAACTGGAAGGCAACTTTCCCTTGTCTTGGTGAAGCCAACAGAAGCAGTAAGGGGGGAGCCTCCCCACAGGCCTGGCAGTACCAAGTGGGCAGCGGGATTTTAAGATCCAGTGGGCCCCAGGCCCCCGTCCCCATCCTCTCATCCTCTCATGGGGAGGGCCGTCTAGGCAGGTGCCTTCATAGTGGCCCCTTCACCCACTCATCCAACATATGTTATTAGGCACCTGCTGTGTGCTGGGTCCTTCCAGCCAGAACCCCGGTCTGGGGCAAAGTGCAGACCTCAGCTAAGGACTGCGGAGGGAGTGGCAGGACTTGTAGGGTAGGGGTCCTTGCAGGCCACCTGGGGCCCCCTTCTCCTTTCCCCTGTGCAGCACCCTCTCCTTGAGCTGGAGCTCCTGCTGTGCTCCCCATTGGCACCTAGGCAGGTGACCCAGCACAGGGCACTCGTCCCCTGGAAGTGAGAAGGGTGGCCAGGTGGGGAAGTGTTGCCTTCTGCTCAGGAATGGGCAGGGTGGCCCCAGTGGCGATGGCCAGACCCTGGGGTCCCCAGCCTAGAGGCCACAGGGCCACTCCAGCCTCAGCACCCTGTGCAAGTTCAACTCCACTGATGCCTGCTGGCCTCGCTTGGTCCTGGCCCTGGGCTGGCCCTGGGAGGGGGTGCTTGCTCCAGGCCCACAGCCTATTCCTAGTCCACTGGGGGCTCTGACCCCACAGCCCTTCTGGAGCAAAGCTAAACCCCAAGGTGGCCGAGTGGCTCTCCCTTGCTTTATTCTGATTATAAAAATGATAGAGTTTTTTGGTAAAAAGTCAAGCAATTCAGAAAAGTAAAAATCATCTCAATTCCACTACTGTTAATATTTTGGTGAACAACCCTCTCTATCTAAACACACACACACACACACACACACACACACATGTAAAGTGACAAAATCTTTACTAGCCATGTTGTTCTGTAGCCTTTTAAAAAAAATGAGCTGAGCTGTCATTTAAGAGACATACAATGCCGAGTGCTGTGCCTTATGACATGGCCCTTCCTGCAGCCCACGAGGGACCTGGGGTCCCAGGCTGGGCAGCAGGGTGGCATGGATTTACAGCAAAGGAGTAGGATTCTGTTCGGCTTCTCAAAAACATGCTGTGGATGACTTTCTAGGTCAATAAGCAGAGCATTCATCACATGCTCTTAAATATAAAAAATAAATTAGCACAGAGTTGGCATTTTTTTGTGGGGTGTTGGTATGGCCTTTGCGGATTTACTTGCCAAGCTCGGAGGAGGCAACACGGGCTGGACAGAACCCTCACGCGCACACGCATGCATACCCCACACATCGCAGGAGATCCTGGGCCCCAGGGGGGCTGCACTGGGGCCTGGACCAGGGGCTCCCAAATTGACCCCTCCGGCAACAAAGCGTCCTCCTACCTGGAAAGGGCCAGGACTGTCGGTCTGCCTGACGTGGGATCGCTATCTCTCGGGGATGTCTTCAAAGCATGTCAACAGCCCCTGTCCCTGCCCCATGTCCCCTCCTTGGCCCGTGGGATCTGTCGACTCCTGTCACCTTGCTACCCTGAGAGCTGCTACTTCTCTTGCTGGATGAGCAAGAGCCTCCTGCCTGTCTGCTGGCGTCCGGCCTCACCCACTCCAATCCTTTTCTGACCCTGGGGTCAGAGTAATTTTTCGAAGGCAAATTGGATCACGTCTCTCCGGCTTCAGAGCCTTCCCTGGGGACAGGTCCCGCCCCTCAGCCAGGACCATCTGGGATGGCTTCTCCACCTCCCGCAGCCCGTCCTTAACCCTGGGGAGGTCCCCTCTCAGGCCAAGCTCCATCACACCTCCAGCCTTTACCCCTGCGGTTCCCTGGGGTGTCCTTCTCGTGTTCTGAATTCCTACTCATTCTCCAAGGCTCAAACTTCATTTCCTGTGCCCACTGGACTGGATTAGGTCTCCCCTGGGGGCTCCCGCAGCACCCCCACACCCCAATGCTGCTTCTCTCCTTCCCCCGGGGTGAGCGATCGCTGTTTCCCTCCCTGACTGTGACCTCCCCGAGTGCCAGGGCCATGCCTGGCTCTCTGTGTTTGGCCCAGCAAACATTTGTGGGACATCTGACCAGAGGCGCTGGCAACCAGCTCGGGCGGCAGGGCCAGCGGCTACGTTTACCGTGCAGATGAGAAGTTGAGGCTCAGAAAGGCCACAGAGCTTGCAAAGGTCACCCAGCGAGTGCGAAGGGAGCAGGACCGCTGGGCTGGGAGCGGGGACCAGGCGGTGACAAGTGGATGGCGGTCCCCCATGGCGGGGCACGTGTGGCCTGCACATGGTAGGCTCGTGGGGCTGGCGTGGGAGGCCTGCTCTCGCAGTAACTGTCAAACCACGGCCGCCGCAGAGGTTGATGCTTCCGTCTTGAGGTTAGCAGGGATCCCTGCTCCCCAGGTCACGAGAGGCTTGGGGGCCCCTCGCTGGGGAGGAAGCTTCGGGGTGCTAGCCGTGAGAGGGACTCCGGCCGCAGGTCTCGTTTCTCAAACACGCCTCCTTCCAGGCTGGGGTTTCAGACCTGTCCGGAGAGCAGTGAAGGTCACCGGGTCTGGATGTCCAGTCACCTGCCCTGCGGAGGGGACACAACGACCTGTGTGCTCTGTTCCCACACAGAGCTGGGCAGGGGCCGAGGCCTGACCTCTGTGGGAGCTTAAGGCTCCTGGCAGAGGCTGAATACGTGGGACCAGGACAGGCCGTGTGTGTGGGACCCACAGGGACATACAGAGGCCCCCTGAGTAGGCTGAGGGGCCATCCAGGCTACTGATGCTCACCAAACTCTCTGTGGGATGCTGGAACCATGCAGTCAAGCTGTGATGACACCAAAACCCCATCCCCCACACCTGCAGGCAGTAGGGACACGGCCTCAGGCCCTGCTCCCTGGTTGGGAAATGCCTCCCTTCCTCAGAACCACTTGCTTGTGTGGACTCAAGTTCAGGCTTCCGGCTAGCCTCTTGTCCTGTGTTCTGTCCTTTGCCCCGCAACCAGAACAGGGGCCCAGCAGCCCACTCTAACCTCTATGGGATTCTGTTTCCTTCTTCCTTCTTCTCTTGCCAACATGGAACATGGGTCTGGCTGAGGAAAGCCGGTCTGGGGGTGGGGAGAACAGGAGAGTGAGTGTTTTTTAAAAGGCAGGAGCTTTCTAAAGGTCAAGGGGTCTTTGTCTTAGCAGCTCTGGTGGTGTCTGGCACAACTGTGGAAACTGAGCCCTTGACTCCTAGCAAACGGGGGCTGGGCCCATGGCCTGGAGCACCTAGCAGGGGCCTGTAGAGGCTTGGGTCCCCCAAGCACGTCCCACCAACCTGCTTCTCCAAATCCTGTCTGTGATGCCACGTGGGGGACGTGATTTCTGCCTTGAGTCAGAAGTGACTGCTGGAGCCTCCTGGGGACTCCACCCTGGCCTCCACTAAAGGCCTTAGGGGCCATTGTCCCTCTGCTCAGGGGCCTCTGTCAGGATGGGGTCACAGGCTTGGGTGAGATTCACCCCTGCCACCAACCCAGGCTGCTGCTCAGAGCAGGAGAGCCAGGGTGGGGACTCTGGGAGCCTCCCAAGCACAGGGTGGGCCTTAGGGGCTCAGAGCAGCTCCAAGCTGTAGGAGGAGCAGCAGTTTCTTAAGAAGAGCAAGAGGGCCTGGACCACAGCCTCCACTTCCTCTTCTGGATAAAAAACCACAGCTTAGCTGTGCTGGCTGATAGTTCTGCAGCTTCTGTCCCTGGGGCCTGCCCCAGGGGCCTGAAGTTTTGAGCAAGCAGCCCCTGGGGCTTTGGCTAGAAAAATGGGGTTGGGAGAGGAGGTTGGATTGTTCAGGGAAAGAGCATAGACCTGGATTCCTTATAATTTATCTTCTAAACTGGAGCACTTTCAAGAATGAAAGGGAGCTGTCTTAATTATTACACCTGGGCAGCAGATGCAAACTGAGATGTATGTTACCCTAATTACCACCATTTCCTAGCTGTGTGGATTTGGGCAATTACATAACCTTTCTGAACTCTAGTTTCTGCATAAAAAAAGACTGATATGTGCCTGTTTCCCAGGGCTGGTGGAAGGATTAAAGGAGTGACTTACTATGTGTGAAAATGCCTGAACAGCCCTCAGCATAGACTGGGCTCTCCATGTTTGCTCTCTTCCAGTGAGATAGTGGGTTCCCTGTCCCTGGAGATAAGCAAGGACTTGTCAGCTCTCTGGAGCAAGTTCTCATGGTGGGAGAGGGGCTGGGGAAGGTATGTATATAGCTGGAGAGTCAGATTCTAATCCTTCCTGTGCCCTCCAGAGGGGTGACGGCGAGGGTGGGAGAGCCCGAGCCCCCACCCTCAGGCCTACCTGTACCTGGGGAGGGTGGGCCAGTGAAGGGTCCTAGGCTGGAGCTCCTTTGTGGATTTGTCCCCGCCCCTCCTCCCAGGTGGTGGTGATTTCGGCGCTCATGGAGGACCCCTACCAGCGCCCAGCCTGGATTGGCTTCGCTATCACCATCTCTGTCTTCAGCTGCCAGAGGTCCCAGTTTTGGTTCAGGGAAAGTCCGTGTGCTTCTGTCCTCCTAAGATGACGCTGTATGGATACGGTTGCATTCTCTGGGAGCTGGAGGCTGAACTGAAGGAGGCTGCTTGCATTTTCTGTGGCTGCTCCTGGGGACTGAGAAATTGAACAGACCCTGCTCCAACCCAACATTTTTTTTAAAAATTAGTTTATTTTTGGCTGCACTGGGTCTTTGTTGCTGTGCGCGGTCTTTCTCTAGTTGCAGCGAGCGGGGGCTACTCTTTTGTTGCGGTGTGTGGGCTTCTCATTGCGGTAGCTTCTTGTTGCGGAGCACAAGGGCTCAGTAGCTGTGGCTCGCGGGCTCCAGAGCACAGGCTCAGTAGTTGCGGCGCATGGGCTTAGCTGCTCCGCTGCATGTGGGATCTTCCCAGACCAGGGCTCGAACCCGTGTCCCCTGCATTGGCAGGCGGATTCTTAACCACTGCGCCACCAGGGAAGCCCCACAACCCAACATTTTTAAAGAGGTGGGTGTGGGGCCTGCCTGACCCCGGGCTACCCCAAGGTCTCCAGGCTTCAGGTTCCTGCAGCGAGTTCCTCTTCAGTGCTTGGTGAAAGGCGTAGGTGACAGGGGTGGGGGTGGTGCTGGCCCTGCTCACAGACTCTGCGTTCCACCCTGGGGCCCCCACTGCACTGCCTTCGCCTGTCCTCCCCATTGCTCCGGGAGCCCCTGGAGGCAGAGTGGGCACTGCCGAGGGCACAGCTAGCTCCAGAGTCCGGGCAGAAGAGGGGCTCAGTAAAGGAATGAATGAACGAGTGAGGTCAGAGCCAGGAAGTCACCCGATCTCTGTGGCATCAGCTCTGTGCAGAGGCTACCCACTCTGTCCCCAAAGCCAGAGCTGCTGAAGGTAGAAGGGTGTGACCTCCTGCCAGACACCCTCGTGCACTGCCAGCTCTCCAAGGCGACCTCAGGCCAGCGACATTATCCCAGCAGCCTTGACTACTGGCTACTCTGCCCTCCATTTCCTCTCCTCACCCCAAGAAGGTTCTTCTGGCCACTTGAGTCAGAGCTTGCCGGAAAGATGGTTCCTGAAAATGTCAGCTCTTGAAGGCATCTGGAGGTTAACAGTGCATGGCCTTCAGCAGACTCCTGTCTGCCAGTCTCCTGTCTGCCAGTCTCCTGCATTAAACGAGGGACCAAGGGCCCAGGTGGAGGTCGAGGAGGCAAGAGGTAGGCGTGCAGCTACAAGGGCGGCCCCTAGGGGTGGGTGCAGGGTCTGCCTCAGCACCATCTCCAGGCCAAGGCCACAGACTTCCAGCCAACTCCGTCTTCCAACACCTTTGGCCCAGGCAAGGTCTCCTCAGCTCTACCCTCTTGACGGAGGTCAAGGAGAGAAGTGGGACACCAAACAGGTGTAACCAAGGTTGCATGACAGCTAAGAAAAGATGTCTCCAAAAATGAGGGACTGGAAGTCCGAAAAGAGGTGCCAAAACACTATGAGACTTGCTGGCTCATTAGCCGATTCAGGGAGGGGTCTTGAAAAGTAAGGCTTCCCTGATGCTAAAGGACGTCACCAGCATTTAATACATTCTTAACATTTGACCCTGTTCTTGTGGACCCCAGATTCGGAATATCATCTAAGTGCTGACAATCTGCTAGGCAAGAGAATGGCATCTCATTGTTCTAACTGGTACTTTTAATGAGGGAGATGGAGCATTTTTCACATATTTGTGGGCTGTTTACATTTCCTTTTCTGAGAACAGCCTAGTCACATCCTTTGTTCATTTTTCTACTAGGTTGTCTTTTTTTTCTTAATGATTTATAGATACTCTTTGTATATTATGGATATTAATCCTTTGCCATATATTGTTTCCCTTTTTTCTCTGTCATTTATGTTTTAATTTTGTTTACATTGTCTTCTACAAAAAGTTTTACAGTTTCATGCTGTCCCATGTGAGTCTTTTTCTTTGGCTTCTGTGTTTCATGATGTTGTACTTAAAATTTCTCTCACTGAGATGATTCAGCTGCTGCTTCAGATGTTCTGAGAAACGATGGCCACAACACTTGCAGTGGCAGCAAATCATGCATGCGTTTCAAAAGAAAATATTTATTTAAAAAATAAGAACTGTCACCCCAAGCACTTATTTAAATATTAATAGATATGGATAAAAATTACAAATGGTATTACGAAACTAACAGCTTTATATTCACAGATGGTCAGATGCTGACAAACAACAACTAAGATCTATGTACACTGAGATGAGATTTGGTTGTTATGAAAATGCGTATGAAGGCTTAAGAAATGGCCTATTTACAGGCTTTGGTGGAGCCATAATCCCCAATTTTCTACTGACTCCTGATGCTGCTTGAGAGCCATGCAAAGCTGAACTGGGTCCAAATATGCTGGAGGATTTAGTTTTAGAAGGTATCCTTCTGCATGTGCTGGACCCCCTAAAATGCGACAAAGAAAAGAAAATTAAAATGTCAAATAAACCCAAAAGTGAACAGTTTTCTTTCTCTTAACCCGCATGCAGCTATATAATCCATGATTTTCCTTGGTGTTCCATGTCTCTGTGCATTTTCTGCCTATAATGGCCCTGGATGGGGTCAGTTTCCTTTACAATTCAAGGAGTAAATGACTGTCACCCTTTACACCAATTTGTCCTACGTTTGTCCTCCTAAAACATCAAGGATTCTGTGACTTGAGCCCAACCCCATGTGCCTTCTCTCTACCCTTTCACAGACCCCTCCCTCTCTCACGCCTCCCTCCAGGCATCTGAGCTGAGATCCATGCTTCCCATCTACTCCGACCACAGAAAGGAAGTGAGAACACCTTGTTTAAGGCCTCAATGCCCAGACAATAGACACTGTGGAATTACTGTGCTCCCACAGTCCAGAGGAAGGGGGCTTTGTGGGTGGGTGGAGACAGAGCAGAGCAGAGCAGAGCGAGCCTCCTCCTGCAGAGGGGAAGGCTGCAGATGTGGTTCCCCGGGCCCGCAGCAGCTGGGGCCTGGCACATCTCTGTCAGGGTCCCGTTGCCAGGGGCTTGCTCGCTCGTCTACATTCCAAGATCTGCCTGCTCTCATCTCCCACTCGCTGCCTTTAAAAAAGGGTGAGGGCTTCCCTGGTGGCGCAGTGGTTGAGAGTCCACCTGCTGATGCAGGGGACACAGGTTCATGCCCCAGTCCGGGAAGATCCCACATGCCGCGGAGCGGCTGGGCCTGTGAGCCATGGCCGCTGAGCCTGCACATCCGGAGCCTGTGCTCCGCAACGGGAGAGGCCACAACAGTGAGAGGCCCACGTACCGCAAAAATAAAATAAAATAAAAATAAAAAATAAGAAAGGGTGAGAGGCCCCTGCCACAGCCTATTACAAAGTCCTTCCAGCACCTCACTTCCCCCACTGATCTGAAGACAACAGCTTTTTCTCTCCCCTGAAAATAAATGGTTAAAAAAAAAAAAAAAAAAATCACAGGGTCAGCATGTTAGCCTTTCCCTAAAGGAGTATTTCCCGCCCCATTGTAACCGGGCTGAATTCATGCCTGGTGTTAATTTCCTACCATCAGGGCACACAAATGGCCTCCGATCTGATCTCTGAATTTAGGGGCCCGGGTATCAGGGCCACCAGTCTGCTAATGACATTTTGGTGGGGCTGAGGGAAGAGTGGTTTTTTAAAAACTCTTGCTCGAGGGCAATTTTACTGCAGAACTGGCAAAGATGTGCTAAACCAGCAGAGAAGCAGCCTTAAATTTCCCTATGCTGATTTCCTGCTGAGATATTAAGTCCCCAGCAAAAACCTGCTGTTTATGTTGATTTGCAGAATGAATCTGCCATCAGCAGCCTCTATTTCACCAGAGTCATCCATTTTACTCCCACTCAGAGCCCAGAACACAACCAGTTCATTGCGTGTTCTTCTGAAGATGTGAAACTCTGAGGGTAGGGTGGGGTGTTAAGGGTTCTGGCAAAGAGCCACGTTTATTTTGTGGCTGTGTGGATCCTCAGCTAGGTGAGCAGCCTGGACACATGGGAAGCCACCTTGCAGAGTGGTTCAGTGGAAACGAGGATAACGGGGCACAGATATAAAGAGGCTGCTACAGGGTAAAGCAAAGTTACACTACTTCCTGGTTTTAGCCAGTAGGGACTAGAAAATAATCCCACCTTAAACACACGGGCTAATTAAAAACTAGCATCAAAAGTGGTACTGGGGCTTCCCCGGTGGCGCAGCGGTTGAGAGTCCGCCTGCCGATGCAGGGGACACGGGTTTGTGCCCGGGTCCGGGAAGACCCCACATGCCGCGAAGCAGCTGGGCCCGTGAGCCATGGCCGCTGAGCCTGCGCGTCCGGAGCCTGTGCTCCGCAACGGGAGTAGGCCACAACAGTGAGAGGCCCGCGTACCGCAAGAAACAAAAACAAAAACAAAAGTGGTACTGGCTTTTGGACAAATATGAGTTTTACTACTTATTAGCTTAGGTTCTAGGCCATAGGGCAAAGTGCTTCCGTCTTATCAACAAAAGTTGTGAAAACAATAAGGGAGCCAATGGTTTACTTTGTTCTAACTACCAACAATGAGGAGATCATGATGGGTTTTCAGGAATCTCCGTGGACCACGTGCAGCAGTGAAAGTGCTCCAGGCAGGCCTGGGTAAGCCAGTGTCCAGTCCCACCTGTGAGACTGGTACCAGGCTGGGGACAGCTTCACGTAAACCTTCCCCAGGGGAAGCTTCAGGAAGCCTCAGCTTCCTCATGATAAATCCCAGGGAGTTGGACAGAGGCCTTTAAAGGTCTTCTACTCTGTGTGAGTGCCTGAGAAATGAGTATTTCCCCAAATGGGGGAATAAATGAAGAAAATAAGAAAATGTCCCTACTGAAGAGCATCCGCAGGTCACTTGCACACTAAAAACCACAAAAATTATTATTCGGCCGTAAAACTGAATGAAATCCTGCCATTTGTGACAACATTGATGGACCTCGAGGGCACTATGCTGAGTGAAATAAGTCAAGGACAAATACTGTATGACCTCTCTTACATGTGGAACCTAAATATATATATATACATATATATAAACCAAGATTATAGATGCGAGAACATATTGGTGGTTGCAAGAGGCTGGAGTGGGGTGGGTGTAGGATAAATGGGTAAAGTTTTTTTTTCTTTTAAAAGTTTAAATAGAATTAAAATAAATAAATAAAACCCACAAAATTAAACTAATATTTACTAACGCCTTTAATTTCTATACCCCAACAGAAGGATTAGCACATACAAGATGTCTGTTTATGGACTTAACAAGGAAATGACAATTTGGTAACATCTGCCTTCCTTTCTTTTCCCCCACTCAATTTTTGGTCTTTATTACCCAGAAGGAAAAGAGGTAGAAAAACTGAAAAAGAAAAACACAACAGGGCTTCCCTGGTGGCGCAGTGGTTGAGAGTCCGCCTGCCGATGCAGGGGACACGGGTTCGTGCCGCGGTCCGGGAAGGTCCCACATGCCGCGGAGCGGCTGGGCCCGTGAGCCATGGCCGCTGAGCCTGCACGTCCGGTGTGCTCCGCAACGGGAGAGGCCACAACAGTGAGAGGTCCGCGTACCGCAAAAAAAACCAACAAACCCAAAAAAGCCACAACAGCTTGCACAAGTTTCCTGAGGACTTGTTCCCTTTTCCTGTAAGCATTTCTGTTACAATACATAAATGCTTAGGGCCACATTCTCCAGACTGATGGGGTGGTCACAACCCTACCAGACCTTACCTACAAGGCAAGGGCAGAGCATGTCCTTGCAGAAAACAGGAAAAAGGGGCTGTCAGAAGCAGTGTGATTATGAAGAAATAAGACGCTGCCCAGATCGTCACCAGGACCTTATGGTAGTGCTATCTTTGTTCCGCCTTGGTGAGCAGAGAGCACCCAAAGTGGGTGCAACCCAGCTCAGGAGCCAGGCAGATGTAGGAAAGGGAAGATGGCGGGGCTGGACTGACCTCTTGGGGTTCCTGCTGTGGCCTCTTCTCTGCTACCCTGCAAAGCTTGGGAGGCTGGCTCTCCCAGGTGTTACTGAATGGCAGGGAGTGTGCGGAGCCTCCGCGTGGAGGCCCTGCAGATTCTGCAGCAATAGAAGCGGTGTAGCAAGTATTGGCGAAAGCATAAGGGTGATGAGAAAACAAAACCCTTTGTTGGGACTTCCCTGGTGGCGCAGTGGTTAAGAATCCTCCTGCCAATGCAGGGGACACAGGTTCAATCCCTGGTCCGGGAAGATCCCACATGCCGCGGAGCAACTAAGGCCATGTGCCACAACTACAGAGCCTGCGCCCTAGAGCCTATGAGCCACAACTACTGAGCCCACGTGCCACAACTACTGAAGCCTGCGTGCTCTAGGGCCCCCATGCCGCAACTCCTGAGCCCGCATGCTGCAATTCCTGAAGCCCATGTGCCTAGAGCCTGTGCTCCACAACAAGAGAAGCCACTGCAATGAGAAGCCCGCGCACTGCAACAAAGAGTAGCCCCCGCTCGCCGCCAACTAGAGAAAGCCCGTGCACAGCAACGAAGACCCAACGCAGCCAAAAATATATATATAAATAAAAAGAAACTTTAAAAAAACAAAAACCAACCAAACAAAAACCCCTGTTTATTCAGCTAGTATATGATTTACAGTATTATAGGTGGAAAATTCACTTAAGAGCAACTGGCAGAAAAAAAAAAAGTTTTTTTCCTAAGGTAATGTCAAAATTGGAGAAGTTTTTGCAAACTAGAAAACTTTGATCATCAACCTAGGAGTAGATATCTTAAAAATCTGAAACAAATGTTTTTGTTTGGGATCAGACCTTAATCCTGACTCCACAAACGGGAGAGGCAACATTTAACAATGGCAATGGCTTATTTTAATAAATGCTTCAAAGCAAATCAGAGCAGCTGTACTTTTATATTTTTCTCACTTCTACCCTACATTGCAGAAAAGGTGGCAGAACTTACCCTTTTGTCTTGGAACCACCGAAACCAGTTTTTCTCCTCTTAGACCTTTGGGAGGCTGGCATCCTTTTCCTCTTTCTTTCATTTTTGGTTTTATTTGCAAAGTAGTGAGAAGATATGGGTGTTTCCTCATCCAGCTCCTCAGGGGCATTTCTTCCAGTGCCTCTGCTGCTGGAGGGGCTTCTCCGTGAGGAATCGTCCTCAGCTACAAATGGACAATGCAGACATTTACCAGTGATGCCATTCTGATCCAAGTGTGATTACAGTCTACGCGGAGATACACAGCACAGGGGTGCAGTTCAGCCAAAGCCCAGCTGCTTTCCTGTAGCATCTTGCCATTTGGATTCAAACACCCCACAAGAACTGAGCACTTATTTAATTTCACAAAGCCCCAAAGTAGTCAATGGCAATTTATTTTTAAAGAAAGGGGTTCAGAGTTCACTAAGAAAACATGTGATGCTCTTTAACTTAACCAGAGACGTCAGTTTTTATTAGCTCACATTCTGTAGCCCACGTCCCTGTTATTGTATGGGCAATTAATCCTGTTAAGTTCTTTGAAAAGTATAAAGCGCTAAACAAAAGACAATTTTATTTATAGTTTTACACATGCTGAAAAAATAAGTCCAACATAAGGAAAACATAACTATGTCCTGCACCTCATCTTTGGGCAATAGTTACTTAGTAAATGGCTGTCAGAAAATTCTAGACCACATTTTACTCTTCTTTGCATAATAGTTGTGAACATTTCACATACTATGCAGGAAATGGGTCTGTATGAAAGCACACATTTGCAAAGAAGATGGTAATTTCCATAGGTATTTGCAACCCAAGGCACACCCAAAGCACGAAATCTCCTTCTAGGTTAACAGTGACCAGGTCTTCATTTTCTGAAGATATTTCCTGGCTGGTCTGGTTCACCCTCAGGCTACCCTACCTTACTGCATGGTAGGAAGGGCACACGGGCAGACAGTGCAGCTCGGGTGAAGTGTGCTGTCATCCCAGCTGGGGGACTTTGCGGAAATGAAAAGCCCTCACCACTTTTCCCCTCTAAAATGGGTGTTGGGGAATATCCAGGGAGGTCCAGTGGTTAGGACTGGGCTCTCTCACTGCAGTGGGCCTGGGTTCAATCCCTGGTCAGGGAACTAAGCTCCCGCAAGCCACGTGGCGTGGCCAAAAATAAATAAATAAAATAAAAATAAATAAAAAAACAAAATAAAATCAGTGTTATAAGGACTGAATGACACAGAATAGGCAAAAGCTCTTGGCTCTGTCCTCCCTCAATAAGTGGGAGTGATCATGACCACACTGTGGGCTGTTTTTGCAGAGCAGCCCTACCTTACGTGGGCAAAAATCCCTATCCAAACAAGTTACTATACTAAATAAACATTAAGTTCCCAGTAAGAGGTTAATGTATTTGAAGTAAGGATTTATGGAATAATTACCACACAGAGGAATTAACGAAAACCTGACTCTTCGGCGTTTTGTCAATGGATAAAACACGACTGTGGAGAGACAGAATGTGAAATGCATGCTCACTCATGTCTCATCCTGCTACTCTGAGAAGGACCCCTCCCGTGGTCCGTTACAGAAAGAGGGAAACATTTCACTTGGCTAGTCTGCATATGGCAATACGCTGAAGGAGGGCGCCCGACTCCTGCACCTGTATCTCCCACAACGAAATCTTTCTTTGTTCTCGATTTTTCCCTGCGTCCATGCTTTCTATAGCTCAGTGTTGAGCTTCGTAATTAGAGGTGCTACATGACAGGCTTCCAGCAACCTTTGGGAAGGTCCGCTAATGATGCACTCACTCGGGCAGATTCTTTCAGTGGCTAATAACAATAAGATTCTCCAGTAGTCCAATTACATGTTCATTTTCCCAAAACATTTAAACTCCACTCTTAAACTTTATACATGATTGTCAGATAACACTTCCCGTCCTCAGACATAGAAACTGAAAAACAAAGAGGCTATGTGTGGCCTGCCAAGGATTACAGAGTGAGATGGGGGCAGATATGTGATCTGCACCCAGGGTTCCAGATTCTTCAGGCACTTGCCTTAACAGAACAAGCAACTCCTGGGCCCAAAGGTCGTCCTCTGGGTCCTGTTAGCAAGTTCAGTAACGGGTCTCCCCTGGGGGACCTGAGCACCGGTGTCCTCTAAGAGGTGCCTGGCATACCACTGGGGTCTCCTCTGAGAACCTGGATGTCAGTGTGAAAGGTGTAGGGACCATTAACACAAGCCAGAAACCACATGATTCTAATCCAGTGAGATGCATCGTTTAACATTAAAAGAGGCTTTCAGAAAACCCATATTTGGCTGTATACTGAACCTGGTAATGTCCACTCAGAATATTTCTGTAATATTGGAATCACTTCTGCACCATATTTTTCCAGTTTGTCTTCAGTAACACCATCAATTTGAAGCAAAACCTCAGGATCAGACGATAAAGATTCTGTGCATGGGCATAAAATTAGAAATTTAAATTACCACCCAGAGAAAACCCACTGAATTTATGCTCATTCACCCATTCAGCACATGTTTGTTAAGTGCCAACTAGCTGCAGAGCACCGGGTACATGGGCTGATTTTCTAAAAGGCAGTTAAATGCCGACAGAGGCAGCCCACAGGCCCAGAGGGCAGGAGCCTGTGGTCCAATCCCAGCAGCAAAGGTGTGTGGAGTCAGGGCCGAGAATGGGAGGGAGCACGGGATATGGGGGTAAGCGGAGTGGGGGTTCCTGGGCAGTGTGCCCGAGAGGTAACTGGACTTTGCTCTTGGCCCACTGTTCTCACAACCAAGACTTGTCTAGCTACAAGTATGGTGACGCTTGTTTGCAGAAAAGGCCCACATCTGTATTTCCAGCTCCGACTTCTCCCCTGCACTCCACATTTGTATACCCTACTCAGTAAGGCCTTAACTGAATTCTTACTTCCCCCCAACCCAAACCTGTTCTTCAGGTCTTTCTGCACGTGGGTGAAGCAAGTACTCTGCCTTTAACAAGTAGGCCATTAAGAGTCTTCTGCGTAGGGCTTCCCTGGTGGTGCAGTGGTTAAGAATCCACCTGCCAATGCAGGGCACAAGGGTTCAAGCCCTGATCCAGGAAGATCCCACATGCTGCGGAGCAACTAAGCCCGTGCCTCACGACTACTGAGCTTGCGCTCTACAGCCTGTGAGCCACAACTACTGAGCCCACATGCTACAACTACTGAAGCCTGTGCACCTAGAGCCCGTGTTCCTCAAGAGAAGCCACTGCAATGAGAAGCCCACGCACAACTGAGTAGCCCCCCCTCGCCACAACTAGAAAAAGCCCGTGCACAGAATGAAGACCCAACGCAGCCAAAAATAAATAAATAAAATAAATAAATTTTTTAAAAAAAGAGTCTTCTGCGTAGAGAAGGCACAACAGTCTTACAGCTAGACAAGCCTGTTATTTTAAAGATCACTCTGGCTGCTGTACATGGGAAATGGATTGTAAGGGAAAGAGGGGAAACCAGAGCCTGGTGGAAGCCACTACAGGTGCGAGAGAGGACGCTGTGAACTAGCGGGTAGTAGTGGAGACAGAGAGAAGAAATAGATTCGGACATGTTTTGGAGGCTGGGTCTGTAGGATTTATTGATGCACTGGCTATGGGCAGTGAGGCAGTAATAATTCCCATGTATCTGAGTTGAGCAAAGGGTGGATTTCAAATCCGTGATTGTAACATCATTTCTATGTTTAGAGGAAAAGAAAAGACCTGTGGGACAGACCAGGAAGTTTATGGAAAGGGTTACTGGAAGATAAAGTGGGGGAGTCCCAGATCCCTGGGACTTCCCTGGCGGTCCAGTAATTAAGACCCCACGCTTCCACTGCAAGGGGTGTGGGTTCAATCCCTGGTCGGGGAACTAAGATCCTGTATGCTGTGAGGGTGCGGCCAAAAAATATAAATAAATAAAATAAAAAATGCAGATTCCTGATAGAATTTGTACTTTATCTGGAGAGCTGCTGGAATTTTAGCCAAGTATTTAGAAGATTAAAATGAATATTATGTTCACATCTGGAGATAAGGAAACCAGTTAGGAAACTTCACTAATAGCCTAGGAACAAAATACTACATTTCATGGTTTCTAAGATATACTCTTTTTTTTGTGTGTTTTGGCATTCCTGAGGTCAAGAGGCGTCTTACAAGTGCTAACGGCCAAATGGCAGCTGTGCTGTCACTGCCTCCACATGTGAGATCTCAGTCATAGCTATCAGTGCTGCCGGCATGCCGACAGCGCCACTGCAGTGCTCACATGTTGAACTGAACTGCACATGAAATGTGTTAGAAAAGACTAGATTGTGATTAGCATTGAGAAAATGATTGTGCATGCAGAAAAGCTCAGAAACGGAGTAACGGGGGATAAATTTGGCATTAACACAGCAAATTGTATGTTCTGGAGGAAATGACAATTCCACAGTTTCTTGCAAGAAACAACCAAGTGCTTTACATGACCTGAAGTAGATGAAGCAGTGTTACATTTGTGTTACTGAGAGACGTGCAGCCTCCCGCGGACACTTTCTGGTATCATCAAGAAAGTGTCACCATCAAATCAGAACGGGTGACAAGGATTTTGATTAAAATTTTGGGGAACAGAGTGGAGCATGCTAAAAAGGCTGTGTCACTAACGTTCCTGATGACATGAGGGAAAACAAAGACATGGACAACTGACTCAAAAAATAATTCAGAAGAGTCAGGTTTTGAATGTGAATTTTTACAAGTACTTAAATCAATCTACTTTGATTGTATGCATTTTCCATATAGGCACAGTTATATGTGATAAAAATCTAAATAAAGTAAAAACAACTCTTTCAATAAAAGCACTGTGTCACAGTTTAATTAGTAGAATTTTTTCTTTCTCAATAGTCCATAAAATAACAATGTGGCATTTTAGAGTTGATGAAATACTGTAATGACCTATGGTGGCAGGAGTGGGAATGGAAGAGAGAGAAGTGATGATTATAAGCTTTTATGAAGGAAGAGGGTGGAAGGAAATGTACATTAGTCAGTCAACCATGTGGCCAACTTATTTTCCAGGGACTCTACTATTAGAATTCTGGGTTGAGCTGTCTGAAGCCATGGAAATAACTCACATCAGCAAGGATTTATCAAAAAATACTTAGACACAGCAGTGTGCTAGATCCGGATTCAGAGAAGCATAAAACAAAATCTCTTTTCAAAAGGAACTTAGCTCCGCATTGCAAAGACATGTACACACATAGTTAAACATCATAAGGCAGGCAAATAAGGCACACAAATTCATTAAGTGACATCTGGTGTTAGCGATTAGAATTATCCATATCCTAACATGCAGCATTAGACTGAAGTATAAGATTGAAATGATACCATATGTCTGAATAACAAAGTACTGTGTATATCTTAAAAAATATATTTTATCTCAAGAATGAGTTTAAACTGTTTTTCTGAGCTTTCAATTCAGAGATCAAAAAGACTGAGATATATTAATGCTCTTGATAAGTTCCTTAGCAAGATTAACTTTTAGCCTATTAACTTATGCCATGCAACAGAAGACTCACAAACACCAACCTGCAAGCTTCTTGAGAGTGACAGTATTAAAAATATTAAAGTAATGGACACCAAAAACTTTTCCCAGAGATTTGCAGACTTCTGTAAGCTCTCCAAGACATTTCTTAACCATCTCTTCCCTCTGAGATACCTTTGTCACTAAAGCTTTTTGTTTTTTCACACTGCTGGAATTTTCCGTTTCCATAAAGTCTACCTTTGTGAGAGAAAATGAGAACACAGGAATGAGTGCATGCACATAGAGGCTTTATTTAATGCTTAATTACATTTTTGGGGGGTACTTCTGTTATGCCAAGTAGATAGTAAGTCCCTTGGGAACGGGGCTGTATATTCTCCATCTTTATATTTCCCATGCCAGCACAGACTAGCTTTCTGATAAATGTTTATTTAATGAATATACGATGATTTAATGATCTGACAACCAACCCACTCAATTCATTTTGACAGGTGTTACATTAGTTGGGTTCAATTTTAAGATCTCTTTCTAAATTAAGAAGAATAGAATATGTTCATATAGGACAGTATATATAAATTCAGTATCCATAAGCTTTGGAAAAGACACTTGAGTTCACAGTAAAATAGTTCTGTCTACTCATTGTGAGATAATAAAATAAAATAAACATTTAAAATACCATACCTTTAAATGCCCATTTAGTACATGTTGGGCTTTATTTCCAGGCATCACATATGCAATTGGTTGATCATTGGCATTGATATATAAGTCTTCATCCAAAATCCTGTCAAGTATCAGCTTTTTAAAAAGTCTTTCAGCATTGTGTCTTGAATAAGCGGATCCCTTTCCAAATATTCCTGACTGAATTTTTGCACTCTTACTCCCTGGTAAGAAGGTAAGAGAAATTAGATTAGTAAATGTAGGTATACCATAACTCTAACAGAAGAGGCTAAAAAAGCCATTTATGGACAGGTCTGGGTAAATGCGATAGCTAAGCTCTTCTGCAGGAAAAACCATGGCACAAATAGACACTTGTTTCCATGAAGTAAGAATATTTGAGTAGAATGCTAAAATAATTGTATGTACTTCTCTTCATCTTTTTATAACGTGCATTGGCCAAAAACAGCAGCAAAATTAAGTTTATCATTTTAGCATGTTGCATGTACAGCTTATAAAATTATATTAGAGCAAACAAATCAAAGACAGTTCATATAAACCCTAATAGCTTCATATCACTGTTGCAGAACACTCCACAAGGCTGTATACTTCCCTCCTCCTCCCACTGAGAGTCCCACCCACAGCTAGATCCTTGGTTTCACATCCACGCTGCACTAATGACTAATGTTTTCATCATAAACACAATTTAAAAAATTTTATTATTTTTTTGGCTGCAGTGGGTCTTCGTTGCTGCGTGTGGGCTTTCTCTAGTTGTAGCAAGTGGGGGCTACTCTTCCTTGTGGTGTGCAGGCTTCTCATTGCAGTGACTTTTCTTGTTGCGGAGCACAGGTTCTAGGCGCATGGGCTTCAGGAGTTGTGTGGCACGTGGGCTCAGCAGTTGTGGCTCGCGGGCTCTAGAGCGCAGGCTCAGTACTTGTGGAGCACGAGCTTAGCTGCTCCGCAGCATGTGGGATCCTCCCGGACCAGGGCTCGACAAGTGTATTCTTAACCACTGCGCCACCAGGGAAGCCTCACAATTTTATTGTAACAATCTACTTAAGAAGGCTTGTGACACTGATTATAATCAGAATTAACAATTACTTTGTAAAGCTTTAGCTCTATTTTAAGAGTTCCAAATAATTACATTATTGTAAATTTCAGATGGCTTCTGGTCATAGATGCTGAATGATTCAAGTTTTTCCTTCTTCAAGTGATTTGTATCCCTGAAATGTCACAGTCCTGGGGCAGGACTACTGCTCTGATAACGGGCTGGCTGATGTGGACCAACCCTAGTGCTGAGAATAACTAAGAAATCTGGACAAAACATAAACAATTTTCTTAAAAAACACCTAAGAGCTAACGAGAAACTGAAGAATGTGTCAGAAAAATGTCTGACTTAGCAATGTACATGAAAGGTACAAACAGAGATGTAGATGAGGGTGTATTTAAAAGGCTATTTATCACATCACTATTTACAATAGAACAATATGTCCTAAAATAAAACTATTTAAATATATTTCATCAATATGATAAAATATAAATTAAAAACTACTTAAGAATAAAAAAATAAGAAAATGCTTATATCTTGTTATATAAAAATGACAGAAACTATACATACAATATGATAAATATGTGATTGTGAGCAAACACACATTAAAACATTAGCAGTTTTTTTGGGAGCTATCTGTATTTTTCGGTTTTCTACATATTATAATGTAGAATGATCATGTATCGTTCTTATAACAAATTATTTTATCTGCAGCCCCTTGTACCCCCAAAAGAGTCCAAACTAGGAGAAGGCAAGAATCCAGAATGGGAAGACCAGCATTAAAAGTTGCTTTGTCCTGAGAAATGTACAGATCCAGGAGACACAGCTGAGAAACTGAACAAACCATCTTCCTACTCCAATCTAGGCTACTAATTTTTTAATTGCTTTATAGATTTTTAATTAAAGTAATACATGTACATAGGAAAAAAATACAATATAGCACAGGCGGGTTTATAATTAAAAGGAACATTCCTCTGTTCCACCCTTCCCCTCCCTAGTCTCACTCTTCTCCAAGGGAATCACTTTTTAAAAAATTTTAATTTAATTTTTTTATTTTTAATTTTTTTTGGCTGCGCCTCGCAGCATGTGGGATCTTAGTTCCCTGATCTCTGGTCGAACCTGCGCCCCCTGCAGTGGAAGCACAGTCTTAACCACTGGATCGCCAGGGAAGTTCCGTAAATCACTTTTTTTTTTTTTTTTTTTTTTTTTTGCGGTACGCGTACTGCGGGCCTCTCACTGTTGTGGCCTCTCCCGTTGCGGAGCACAGGCTCTGGACGCGCAGGCTCAGCGGGCATGGCTCACGGGCCCAGCCGCTCCGCGGCATATGGGATCTTCCTGGACCAGAGCACGAACCCGTGTACTGCATCGGCAGATGGACCCTCAACCACTGTGCCACCAGGGAAGCCCCCGGCAATCACTTTTTAAATAGCTTGTTTTCAGCTCTTCTAGTGGTTACCTCTGCATGGAGGTACTCTTGCTGTCATGCCACTGGCCAGAATCACCACCTGACATTTATTTATTGACCCTTCACAATGAAAGATGAGGCTTTATCTCATTTATACCACCCCCTTCACTTTACCCTGCCCTGAATTTTGCTAGTTACATAATACTGGTTCATCTATTGGTTTTTGGGGTAACTTTAGAGTGTCTGACCACTCTCCCTCCCCACTATGTAGGAGGCTACCAGCACCCCAAGCTGTCCATATACTCCCCTTTTATTTTTATTTATTTATTTATTTAAAAAAATTAATTAGTTTATTTTTGGCTGCGTTGGGTCTTCATTGCTGTGCACGGGCTTTCTTTAGGTGTGGCGAGCAGGGGCTACTCTTTGGTGCAGTGCGTGGGCTTCTCATTGCGGTGGCTTCTCTTGTTGCGGAGTGCAGGCTCTAGGCACGCAGGCTTCAGTAGCTGTGGCATGTGGGCTCAGTAATTGTGGCTCGGAGGCTCTAGAGCGCAGGCTCAGTAGTTGTGGCACACGGGCTTAGTTGCTCCGCAGCATGTGGGATCTTTCCGGACCAGGGCTCAAACCCGTGTCCCCTGCACTGGCAGGCGGATTCTTAACCACTGTGCCACCAGGGAAGTCCCCCCTTTTATTTTTATTTATTGTACTTTTATTTTTACATCATCAAGATTAACGTCTATATCCTGCTCTGTTCTCTAACCATGTTTAAGTCTATACATTGATTCTATTGCAGCTAATCAGCAACATTTGTATTACAACAAGCTTCCTTCCCCACTTAGAACTCATGACTCTTGTGCAACTCTAAGGAGGATGTTCACTGTATTCAGACAAACGGATTATTTTTTTGCATATTTTATTAATTACTCAAAATCATGCAGCCATTTCCTTTGTTTTCTATTTGACCTTGGTTCTCTTTTATAATCTTTCCTTGGGAGTTTCTTTTTTTTTTTAAGATTTTTTTTGCTGTGGGCCTTTTTTTTTTTTTTTTTGTGGTATGTGGGCCTCTCACTGTTGTGGCCTCTCCCGTTGTGGAGCACAGGCTCTGGACGTGCAGGCTCAGTGGCCATGGCTCACGGGCCCAGCCGCTCCGCGGCATGTGGGATCTTCCCAGACCGGGGCACAAACCCACGTCCCCTGCATTGGCAGGCAGACTCTCAACCACTGCGCCACCAGGGAAGCCCTGCTGTGGGCCATTTTTAAAGTCTTTATTTAATTTGTTACAATATTGCTTCTGTTTTTTATGTTTCCGTTTTTTGGCCCTGAGGCATGTGGGATCTTAGGTCCCCGACCAGGGATTGAACCCGCACCCCCTGCATTGGAAGGCGAAGTCTTAACCACTGGACTGCCTGGAAAGTCCCTCCGCAGGAGTTTCTAAGTGCCTTTCTCCTTTTGTTGTTGAGAAGTAACATTTGTGTTCTTTACTGTCATCAATAAAAAAATTCATTTCTTGTTCTTTCTCTATATTGCTTGGGACTTATTTTTCCCGACTTTCTGTTACAATTTGTACAGACTGCTTACTGGACCTGCTGCATAGCTGTGACTCTGGGATTTCTTCTCACTGGACCCATGGGTCAGTTCCTCTGTTTATGGTATACATGATATCACCTTCTTTGCCTTCTAGTCTCCAGGGCTACTGACATTAATCTGATGTCAGTTTGGTTTTGGTTTGCTTTTTCTTTCCAAAGCTTTCTGGAGTATTTCTGAAGGGGTCCAGAACATGCCACAGTGGCATAAAAATTATTTTGAGCAGAAGGTACTTGAATTTCTGAAATCCATCTGCCAAAAAGCAGAGACTCCCAAAAGAACTCAGTTGTCTTAAATCCCCTCCCCAGGAGCAACCAGAGAAAACTGACTCTTATCATTGGAGATGAGAAGTCTCCACACAACACCTAAACAGACACTGTCACAAAAACTGCCATGTCTCCCCGCTATCTTTCTCCTAAGGGCCCATTTATCTTTCCCTCAAATCATTTGTTTCCTCCTAACCCTTCTCCCGCCTCTACTTCCCCTATTAAAACGGTACACCAGCCTCAAATTCTAATTGCCCCTTTGAGTCACATTTTCTATGAACTCCCACACATACGTGATTAAATGTCTTTTCTCTTGCTAATGTCCCCAACAACTAAATATAACACAGTGGAGAAAAAGCTTTTCTTCCCTAACATCTCGTTACTCTTGGTATTCTTTCTTTTTTTTTTTGCGGTATGCAGGCCTCTCACTGTTGTGGCCTCTCCTGTTGCGGAGCACAGGCTCCGGACGCGCAGGCTCAGCGGCCATGGCTCACGGGCCCAGCCACCCCACGGCACGTGGGATCCTCCCAGACTGGGGCAGGAACCCGCATCCCCTGCATTTGCAGGCGGACTCTCAACCACTGCGCCACCAGGGAAGCCCCACTCTTGGTATTCTTAAATTTCATCTTATAAAGCATCTTATTTAGCATTAAGTGGGCATATTTAAGAAAAATTTTGGCCACGCTGCGTGGCTTGTGGGATCTTAGTTCCCTGACCAGGGACTGAACCCAGGCCACAGCAGTGAAAACACTGAATCCTAGCCACTAGACAACCAGGGAACTCCCCAAGTGGGCATTTTAATTAAGGTTTTTTTTCTTGTCCATTCTGGGAAATTTTCTTTTATCATTGGTTTGAGAATTCCCTCTCTCTACTTTCTATTTCAAAATTTTATTTGTCAGATTTTACATCTCCTAAGAATTGATCTATATTTTGTCTCTCACATTTTCCATATAGCCTTTTGCTCAGGTCTTAAGAAAATTTTCTTGACTTTATCTTCCAACCTTTCCACTAAATTTACTTGTGTCAATCATTTAAAATTTTTAACAGCTCTTTCTCTATTTTCTGTAACATTCTATTATTATTTAAGTCTTTATGAAGATACTATCAGGAGTTTCCCCTCCCATATCCCCAAAGCTATTGCTTATTTTCTAAATTATCTCTATCCCCAGGGTCAAATATGCTACTTATTTGGTCTTTCGCTTTTTTCTTTTTGGCTGCACCTCACGGCTCACAGGATCTTAATTCCCAGACCAGGGATCAAACCCTCGCCCCTTGCAGTGGAAGTGGGGAGTCCTAACCACTGGATAGCCAGGGAAGTCCCTTGGTCTTCCTCTTGAATTTTTTTTTTTAAAAGATTATTTATTTATTTATTTATGGCTGCGTCAGTTCTTAGTTACAGTGCATGGGCTCTTCGTTCAGTGTACGGGTTTCTCTCTACTTGTGGCACGTGGGCTCAGTAGCTGTGGTGCGTGGGCTTGGCTGCCCCGCAGCACGTGGGATCTTAGTTCCCTGACCAGGGATTGAACTGGCGTCCCATGCATTGCAATATGGATTCTTAACCACTGGACCACCAGGGAAGTCCCCTTGATTGTCTATTTATATTTAGTCTTTAGGAACCAGGTTAAACTTTTTAGGTGGATTTCTTGTTATTTTATATCTAGGTCTATTTCCCCTCAAATTCCTCCCCTGAATGGCGATATCTAGTTACCAGGTTTGCTTTAGGGTAAGTGGGCTGGGTGGCCCCCAAATGCCACTTAGGGGTGCTGGCTCCCAGCTCAGCTGTCTCTCTACTCCTCAAGCAGTTTATCTTTGTTCTAGAATCAACTGCAGGCTGCTTTCCGTGCAGTTCTTTTGTGAGCAGACTTTCTTTTAACCGTCCCCTCCTATTTTTGGCTCCTCTGCTTTTACTCCCACCCCCCAGGCCTCTGAGCTTCCAAGTCTGAGTCAGCCTGGTGATAATGGGGTTCTACCTGGTTGACAGCCCCTCTGCTGTAACTTTCTCTACATTTATTGTGCATTGTGATTTACTGCATTTCATTCCATTTTTCAAGATGCTTCCATCCATTTCGTCAAAGATTTTTAAAACCTTTAATCTGATGATGGTCTCTTTCTGGTTTTCTATGCTGTTATGGATTTAATCCTCATTTTATTTCCTTGCTACTATTTTAATGGGGCCTCAAGTGAAAAAAGAAGACAGATACTTATGCTCACGCTGCCATCCCGAACTGGAAGTCAGTCAATGGGTAATTCTTCAGGGAAGTTATATTCTATTCACTCAGATGAAATTGTATAAACTTTATTATTTTCTTTTTTGTTTGTGGAAACTCATCTTAGTGACTTACATAAATTCTATAAAAATAATTGGTAATAATTCATAAAAACTGATTTTCTTTTGTTACTCAAAAAGGTTTTATTCTAAAACTCTTAGCTTCTATAAGAATACAGAAGAGATTTTTTCTATGTACTTGTAATGAATTCTTTAGAGGTTCAACTTTTTTTTTTTTTTTTGGTTGTGCCATGCAGCTTGTGGGATCTTAGTTCCCTGACCAGGGACTGAACCTGCGCCCCCTGCAGTGGAAGTGCAGAGTCCTAATCATTGGACCACTAGGGAATTCCCTAAATGTTCCATTTTAATCGATGTAACTCAAACAATAAAACAGATGACTTACCCAAGAAAATGTCGACCAGCATATTCATAGTAAATCTCCCAGAAGGACCTACATGTTTTATATTTCTTGTTCCTTGTGATGAACTGTGTTCTTGAACAAATCTTACAATATTTTTTACATCATCAGTCACATCTCTTGTCTTATAATCCTATGAATAAAAAGAGATTACCTTTTGCTATAATTAAGATACCGATACCTAGATCGCTAGGATTTAATACTAACTGTAACAGTCCCATAATAAACCATTTCCAGACTAAAACCAAGACCAAAAACCAAGGAAGTTTCAAATGTTCATTCTTTTTTAAGTTCTTATATTAACCTTATGTCTAGAATAATTAGCACTCTACTATATCTATTTCATTTCTGTTTCACAGACAGTTACCTGAGAGCACTCTGTGGGTAGAAATATTCTTTTTCTTTCAAAACCCTTCATACCTCTTTTGGTCACTTACTGGATGGTGACCTTTAGGGATGAAAAACATTGTCCAACCATGCAGATGTGAGTTCTGATCTCTTTTGGGTCTTTGGTGCCACAGTCAATCCTTTTTATCATCTCCGGTCAGTTCCCTTTCTCATTCCCCTCAGTTGTCTCCAAACTCTGCCTACCATTACTATGTGGTCTTTTGCTATTGTCTATCCTAGTTCTCTAACCCAATACTAAGCACCTGCTGTTCTCAAAAGCTGCATCGTGCTTCTGTGCCTCTGTGTATGTAGTTCCTCTACCTTCGAATCCTTGTTCATCCACCACAGTCCTGAAGACAAAAAGGTTTCTTGTCCTATACGAACAACTGGTAGTGATTCTGAGGCTCTATCTGGCATCATCATGAAAGAGTGCCCCATCACTCTCTCCAACATCATTCCTGCCTTAATTCTTGGTGACTAGTGTACAGAGATGATCCTCCCACACCTTGGCCTTTGGCAACTTGATCTCCTATACTCCAGTGATCCTGTCCTCCACATATGTCAGCCCCTCACTCCCATGCTCACACCCACTACCTAGCCTTACTAGTATCAGCAACCCTTTTGTTCTCCGACCGCTACCTCCTGCCTTTCTAACTCACGCCATCTAGTTTCTGACTCCAGCAATCCAGTGGGACAGCCTATCCATTGATCCTCATCCTCAGATGTTCAGCTTCAACTCCAGAGCCGATCAATTATAACATAACCTTTCATATACCTTCAACTCCCCTGCCCTTGGGTCACACTGTTTGACAAAACACACGAGATCCAGTTCTCCACCATTCCATGCCTATAGCTGTGTAGCTGAACTTGGCAGGAGAAACACACACAACTATGCTGACTGTTTTCCCTTTCAGTACAGGGCCACAAACCTCAAGTGGATCTTTAACGCTGCCAAGTAATCGATGATACATGCTTAGTCTCTCTCTCCCCCATTCTCTTAGAATAGGAGTCAGCAAATTACGGCCCATGAGCTGTATACCTGTTTTTGTAAATCAAATTTTATTGGAACACAACTATGGAAAAATCGGTGTATTTATTGTAATTTATGTCTGCTTTTGGGCTAAAATAGCAGAATTGAGTAGGTGTGAGACTGCCCACAAAGCCTGAAATGCTGGGTTGGCCAAAAGGTTCGTTTGGGTTTTTCCAAATAAGATCTTACGGAAACCCGAATGAACTTTTTGGCCAAGCCAATATTTACCACCCTCTGGCCCTTTAAGATAAAGTTTGCTGACCCCGGCTTAGATGACAATTTCACACTTTCTCCTTTCTCTTCAATCCCCACTCTTGTCCTGTCAGCTGACTACCTTGCTTCCTACTTTGCTGAGGAAACAAACAATCAGAAGAGAGCTTTCAAAACTTCCTTCACTACATCCATCCCCAGTACCTGCCCCACATTTTCTCTTCTTTCTTGCTGTTATTATAGACGAACTATCCAAGCTCCTGTCTAAGCCAGTCTTTGTCCTTCTGCACTAGCTCCCAAGCCCCCTTGCTTACTCAGGGACACTGCTTCAGCAATTCTTCCCTCTCCTCACACATCAATTTCCATCCTCCGTAGGTACGTTCCTATCAGCACACAAATATATTTCTCCTGTCTCTTCTTGACTCCACTTCCCCTGGCAGCTACGGTTTCATTTCTCTGTTCATCCTTGAAGCAAAACTTGAAAGAATTCTCCATGTGCACTGCCTCCAATTTTGCCCCTCTCCACTGAAACTGGTCAAGTCCAGGTCCCATATTTCCACGGTGCTAAACCCAACGGTGACGTCTCGGTCCTTATAGTACTTGGCTCGGCAGCAGCAGGTGACTAGGGAGCGCTCCCTCCTCCCTGATGCACTCCTACGCTTAGTTGCCTTGGTCTTCCTCCTACCTCACTTGTTCTATTTCCTGGTCTCCTTTCCTAGTTCTTCCTCTTCTCCTCAACCTCTTCAAGTCTCAGGGCTCAGTCTTTGGTTTTCTTCTCTTCTGTCTATAAACTTATACCAGTGAAGATTTCATCTGCTTTCATGACTTCAAATTCAACTATATGTCAACCACTCCCAGAGTTATGGTATCACCAGCCTCTCTTCAGTTTGCTGGATCCAAGACATATCTAACTCACTACACCCCAGACCAAACCCCTGATCTTCCCTGCCAGTCTTCCCCAAACGTCTCGGTTGAGGGCTGCTCCACTCTTCCAGTTTCTCAGCCCTCCAGGCACCATTCTGACCGGCCTCCCCTCACCCCCTGGGCAGGCACTACCCCTCAAAGGCACAGGCACGCCCCCCACCTCAGGGCCTCTGGTCTTGGCTTTAGCCAAGAACATCCGTATTTGAGAGCTGCTCAGCTAACTCCTTTCTTCAAGTCTTCGCTCAGGTCTCATCTTTGCAGTAAGATTTCCCTGGGCCACTGCATCCTGCACCCCATTCATCATTCCTGACTCCTTACACTGCTGTACTTTTCATCAAAGTTCTTTCCTCTTAACATGTACTTATAACGTAGAGTCCTTATTCAGCCTCCCTCTGCTAGAATGTAAGCTCCACAAGAGTAGGGATCTTTATATTTTGTTCAGTGATGTATCCCAAACTCCTAGAACATTGCCTATCACAGAGCAGGCATTCAACAAATATTTGTTGAATGAGTGAACTGATTAGCAATGTCTACAGAGTGGGGTGTGGTGGGTTGAGATGGCCATAAATCCACAGATTCCACCCCAAGAGAGAGTAAATCACCCTCTGCTTGGCTAGCGCTGCCTACGGTATCACAGTGATATGAACACATACATGTCTGTCTCCCCTCCTGTCTGTGAATTGGCTATATCATGTTCATATGTGAATCCCCAGCATCTTGCACAGATATTTCAAATAATATATCAACTGTGAAAATGCTCTGTAGGGGGCTTCCCTGGTGGTGCAGTGGTTGAGAGTCCGCCTGCCGATGCAGGGGACACGGGTTTGTGCCCCGGTCCGGGAAGATCCCACATGCCGCGGAGCGGCTAGGCCCATGAGCTATGGCTGCTGAGCCTGCGCGTCCAGAGCCTGTGCTCCATCCACAATGGGAGAGGCCACAACAGTGAGAGGTCCGCGTACCACAAAAAAAAAAAAAAAAAAAAAAAAGCTCTGTAAACTGTGAAGTACAGTAGACATTAAAACATAGAATTACCATGATAGGTACAATACAGTACCTAACGACTGAATTTAACAACCTCCCAAAGTTATTTTTAGGACAGATGATAGCAAACGCATCCTGAAGCTATTGCCCTTACTCTTTACAGTTTTTTAAAAACCAGTTTACAGAGTAATCTAATTGATCTGAATTCAAACACATAGTACACTAGTTACAACCCTTTTGAGAACGAAGATGTTTAAATACAGAGTTGAATGTAAAATATTCTACCTGCCCATGTTGGATCTTTTTGGGTATTTACAGATTAATGATATTTCTTAAATATCCTATAACCACCAAAACAGGTCCAGTATATATATATATATATATATATATATATATATATATATATATATATTTTTTTTTTTTTTTTTGTGGTACGCGGGCCTCTTACCGCTGTGGCCTCCCTTGTTGCGGAGCACAGGCTCCGGACGCGCAGGCTCAGCGGCCATGGCTCACGGGCCCAGCCGCTCCGCGGCATGTGGGATCCTCCCGGATCAGGGCACGAACCCGTATCCCCTGCATCGGCAGGCGAACTCTCAACCACTGTGCCACCAGGGAAGCCCCAGTATATATTTTTAACAGGCTTCTAGTTCTACGGATACTCCACAGAAATACTATTAAAATGTTTCTATTCCCAATTAACACGGGGAGGAAGCCATCATCCCCTTGTTAAAATCCCTAGGGCCCACTTACTGCAATCTAACTTGTATCTAACTTTTCTAAATTAAGAGAAGAAAAAAAAAAACTTGGCAAGTTCCTCATCACAAAGAATTTAAAACTTTCTTATTTTACCTTTGTTTTACAGCAATTATCACAAGAAACATCTGGGTATTTCTTACAAAAATAAGGATTAAATCCCTTTTCGCCAAAGTAAGCCAAAAGCTGTATTCTCCTGCATTCGGTTATATTTTCACAGTAATGTACCATACTATACAAATTATTGAAGTGAGTCTCTTTCGTATGATGGTTTCCATCTTTTTCCACTAAAAGAGACGAAGAACACAGTAAACATACTTATTAGAGTAGAAAAATAGAAAAGAATATCACAGAAATATTTAGAATAGGTTCATATAACTTTAAATATTAAATGAAATAAAATTATTCATAGCACTATATATCAACATGACATGAAGCTATATGATAATTAACTGAATATTTATGTTCATCTTCAAGATTGTAGTTTTGCAGGAATAAACATAGGTTGTCAGGAGTAGCTGAAAAAATTTTGCAACTCTTCATTATTTCCAACGATAAATATCTGAATTATATTTACTATATTTATCAGACAAGGATGTACTGAACCCAGCATCCAAAGCAAGCAGAGCATGGAGCCACGGCAGTGGGCTGTGCATCTCCCCGAGTATCTGGGATCAAAGTGGTTAAGCCAGTGGTTCTGAAACTATGTACCAAGGACCCCCCAGGGCTGGGGCGGGTGCTGCAATGAATTCACAGGGGTGCTGGCAGGTGTTTTAAATTTAAGAGAAACACAGCAATACCTGACATCTGTTGAACACCACACAAGCAACTAGTTGGAGGTAGTTTATGATGTGCTACTTTCCTTCTAATGACATTGTGAAGCTGAAATTTTGGCAGCTGCTATGATAAAAATAAGTACCTCCAAAAAATCAATGTGAAACAGGAAATGAGGGTGGCAGTGTCCAATCTGATTCCAAGGTCTGAGAACCACATGTACATACTTTTCATTTGTAAGCAATTGTTGTTAGTTAAAAATGAAATAAAAAATTTTTTTTCTGGTTTATGAGTATTACTTTTTTCAAATGGTTGCTAAGTGTTTAGCATTTAAATACTTACTAAATTATTTGGACCTAACTTAATATAGGTTCTGCTTAAAAACACAAATGGACACACTAAGTTTAAAAGTTTCATTTTTGCACTGAGAATTATCTTGGTATAGTGCAAGGGACATGGAATTTGCAATCAGATGAACCTGGATTCCATCAGGGCTCTGCCACTTACCTAGCTCTGTATCTCATTTTCCTCTTCCGTAAAACGAGGAGAATAATAGTAGTATCTTTTAGGGTTGTTGTGAAGATTAAATGAAGTGATATACGTAAAGCATTTAAGACAGCAGCATATAGTAAGCGGTAAGGAAACTTTATCATCATTATCACTACCCTTCCCCTTACCGCTGCGGCTGCTCTTGGGGGCAAGTTACAAAACCTTTCTGAAGCTCACTTTTCTCATGGGACTACCTCAAAAACTAGTGGTTACAAGCAAATAAGGTGAACATTACTTGGCACAGAGCTTGGTAAGTGCCATTTCCCGTGCTCAGTATCTCTACCAGAGTTCATTCAAAAGTGGTCTCAAAACAGGCAATTTTACTTATTTATCTATTAGAAGGGGACTGGTTCAATAAACATGGAATACCATACTATGGAACTCTATGTAGTCAAGCTATGTGTACTAGTTGGAGTCATAATTACACCCTAGTGTTGACTGGAAAAAAAATCAGGTCAACATATACATATTAAAAAAGCACATTTATATAATAACTATAAATAGAGTATAACCTTTAAAAATTGTGAATCACTACGCTGTACACCTGAAACTTATATAATACTGTAAATCAACTACATCTTAGGGGAAAAAAAAGCACATATAATGGAATCGCATTTATATTGTAAAAAACCCTGCATTTGGGAAAGGTAAATATCAAATATAAGATATTGCCTAACTCCAATGAAGAGGTAAAGGGATGAGATAGGAGAGGGCTATGTAGGGGTTTTATTTCCTAACCTGGACGGTGGTACGTGACAGTTCATTATTTTTTTCCATTTTACCTTTCTGCATGCTTGAAATTTGTTATATACCAGGATGCATGCAGAAATTGGGCCTGGAAGGATACAAAGGAAATCAGTAACTGGAATTATTTCTTAGGGCAGGACTGCATATGAGGCATGATTTGGAAATTTTTCAGTCCTCAACACATTTGTATCATTTGAATTTTACATAACAAGCATGTAATACTTTTATCATAAACATGAATTAAAATAAAACTTCCATGTCTATCTAAGTGCCTCTATTTTAAGGAAAACTGGACCCAAAACACCACAACTGCAGGGACAGATGACAAAAACGAGACCGAGGACGACAGCATGTGTCCCCAATGGAGCTCAGCTTACTTAGTATAAGCCTCTTCAGTCTGGTCACATCGTGGTAGGTATAGAAGAGCAGGCAGTGAGAGATTTCCCCATCTCTTCCAGCTCTGCCAGATTCTTGGTAGTAACCCTCCACGGATTTAGGGAGGGATGCATGGATCACAAATCGCACATCAGGTTTGTCAATCCCCATTCCAAATGCAATCGTCGCACAGATAACCTGATGTAAAAGCAAAAGCCTATTAGGCTCATAATGCATTTAAAGGAACATTTTTTAAATCAATCAATCAATTAATTTTTGGCTGCATTAGGTCTTCGTTGCTGCGCGCGGGCTTCTTTAGTTGCATTGAGCGGCGGCTACTCTTCGTTGTGGTGTGTGGGCTTCTCTTGTTGCGGAGCACGGGCTCTAGGCGCACGGGCTTCAGTAGTTGTGGCTCACGGGCTCTAGAGCACAGGCTCAGTAGTTGTGGCGCATGGGCTTAGTTCCTCCGCAGCATGTGGGATCTTCCCAGATCAGGGCTCAAACCCATGTCCCCTGCACTGGCAGGCGGATTCTTAACCACTGCGCCACCAGCGAAGCCCTAAAGGAACATTTTAATAATAGATGCTTCTAGAAGCTTTATCTTCTATCTTACTTTAAAATGTACTCTATATAAGAGTCTAATATCTTAACTTGGTTCCATTATTTAGCATGACTAATATGAGATTTTCATATTGATAATTTGCAGTTCTATTCAGACCCAAGAAAGTAAAGAGAAGCTTGGTGTGGCAGGCACTTGCTTGTGTGATTTGGGGCTATCACCAAGGGAGCCAGGATCAGCAGCAGTCGCCTCCTGATGTGTTACCACTGTTTGCTTGCGTATGTTTTTTTTTGTTTTTTTTTTTGCGATATGCGGGCCTCCCACCACTGCGGCCTTCTCCGCCGCGGAGCACAGGCTCCGGACGTGCAGGCTCAGTGTCCATGGCTCACGGGCCCAGCCGCTCCACGGCATGTGGGATCCTCCCGGACCGGGGCATGAACCCGTGTCCCCTGCACCGGCAGGCAGACTCCCAACCACTGCGCCACCAGGGAAGCCCTCTCGTATGTTTTTGATATGGAGGTGTGGGGGTGTGGCTCACCCAGCCATGATACCCCTGTTGCCTCGGTAACTGTGTTTCTCAGGAGCTCTGGTTGTTCCCAGGGCTTGGGCTTTTAGAGGTCACTGCTGCTAGATTTTCCAATGACTCAGGAACAGTGGCGTTCTCACCTGCTCCAGGTGAGAACTTACTATCCGTTTTTCCAGTGGTAGCAAGTGATCACACACTAGCTCCTTTTATTCATCAGCTAATTTCAGAGTCAAAACTTGTGAAAACTGTATTGGAACTCGTGGGCAAAAGTCTGAGAGTTGCTTATACTAGGGTAAAAAAAAAAAAGGCTGGAGACCGTGGATCTTGGTCTATGCAAATTACTCAGTGGAAGCAAGGTGATAGGTAAATTTCAGGAGCTTGATATATCAGTTTTTAGTAAAAAATCTCTTTCAAGCCTATCCATTTCAGTGGCAAATTTAGGACCTATAACCCAGCCAAAAATATTATATCTCCAGGCAAAATTACATTATACAAATAAAGCTGCAATGCTTTTTTTACCACCTAAAAAAATGAATTGCTACTTCAAAAATAGTATTTCAAAAGCAACTGGACGATCTGGCAGCCAGACTGAGGCTAATGACATGATTTCAGTAACTGTAAGTACCACAGCTAGGAGCTGCACGCCATGGATGGCAGACGGCGGGTGCTCATCAACGCTGGAGATGCTGGTGGCCTGTACTTTAGGTCAGCCATCTGTCTAAATTTATGGCACTGCTATCAAAGGCAAATCTCCTTGGGAAGAGAAAGTCTACTGTAGCCTCTAGAGGTGGGAGAGCAGGTAGAGAGGCTGTAAAGCAAGGTGTGTCAGCCCACAGGCGCACAGGTTTCCAAGAAGCCTGGGTGCATCTCCCAAGGTCGGGTGAGCACAGGGCTGTGAGGGAGGCTGCAGGCTCATGAGGTGACTATGATACCAATGCCTTCTGAGACTCTTTACTTCTTATAACTGGGAACACTGGCTTTGTGGAGTTGTTAATTCCTTCTTTATTTCTGTGTTGCTTTTAAAACTTCAGGCTAGGGACTTCCCTGGTGGCACAGTGGTTAAGAACCCGCCTGTCTACGCAGCCCTGGTCCGGGAAGATCCCACATGCTGCAGAGCAACTAAGCCCGTGCGCCACAACTACTGAGCCCATGTGCCACAACTATTGAAGCCTGCACTCTCAACCACTGTGCCACCAGGGAAGCCCAATCATCAGTGTTATTTTTAATAGTAAATAGCTTAAATGTCCTGAGAGCATGATTGGTTACATTATGGTACATCCCTGCCATTAAAAAATGGTTTATGAAGAAATTTTTAATGATATGAAAATGTTCGAATGTTAATAATGGATAAATGTAGGGGAAAATATAATTCAAAAGTGTGTAATCTCGGGCTTCCCTGGTGGCGCAGTGGTTAAGAATCCGCCTGCCAATGCAGGGGACACGGGTTTGTGCCCCAGTCTGGGAAGATCCCACATGCCGCGGAGCGGCTGGGCCCGTGAGCCATGGCCGCTGAGCCTACGCGTCCGGAGCCTGTGCTCCACAACGGGAGAGGCCACAACAGTGAGAGGCCCGCATACCGCAAAAAAACAAAAACAAAAACAAAACACTGATGTAAACTCCACACCCATGTTTCAGATTTGAGGCTCTTAAATATGGTCTACCACATTGTTTTCCAGAAAGGCTCTCACGAGTACTACAGGAAATCGTCTCTGACAACACTGTCCCCGACAGTTAATAAAAGTTTGCTAATACAAGAGATAAACATGATCTCACTGTTTTAAATTTTAATTCCTTTGATTATTAGCAAAATTGCACTTAAAAAATTTGTATTTAGCCCTCTGTAGTTCCTCCTTTCCAACAGTTTCTTGATAGTCTTGAGTAATTTACTATTTGAGAAATGTTTTTCTTCTCACATTTTTACAAGCTCTTCATTATGTTTTATTTGAGGAAGCTATAGTTCCCATTTTGCTGTTGCCTTTAATTTTTTTCTACAGATATAGAAGTGTTTAGTTGTTTAGGTTTTTAATCATTTCTAGCAATTACTTCCTTTTGAGCTGTTTTTAAGCTTAGGTTCTCTTTCACTCAGCGTGCATACATTTAAAAATATCTGTACCTTTATTTACCTATAATAAACTTTGATATGAGGACTCAGAACAACTCTCCCCATCAGGTAACCAGTACGACTAGTTGAAAAATCTTCCTTTCCTAATTAATTTTGAATGCCTTCCTTATCATATATTGTTTTTACCTGTTTTCCAGTCTATTTCTGGATTTCTGTTCCATTGATCTTTAATGTATTGCAAAGCCAGTGTTCGTGTGTTATTATTTTCTTGCCAAATTCTTTTGGTTATTTTCACTTGAATATTCTTCCAGGCAAACTTTGGGAAAAGTTTATCAAAGGAAGAAAACACTGCAATTTTGATTAGCTACATATTAATTTGGGAAGAATGCCTTCTAGTTATGTCAGTGAACATAAACCAGTATTTTACATATCTGAAAAAGCCTTTCTATTGTTTCCGACATAAATGACAAAGAGCTGGCGTGAAACTCTTAAGTCCCAGCCTTTCCTCTTCTGATTCTGGAGATAGTTCGCTTCTGTTTTTTTAATTTAGTGTAACTGTCTCAGGCATGTCTATTACTCGTTCTTTTTTTTTAAATTTTATTTATTGATTGATTGATTTGGGGCTGCATTGGGTCTTCGTTGCCGTGTGCAGGCTTTCTCTAGTTGCAGCGAGTGAGGTCTACATTTCATTGCGGTGTGTGGGTTTCTCATTGCAGTGGCTTCTCTTGTTGTGGAGCATGGGCTCTAGCACGCGGGCTTCAGTAGTTGCAGCACGTGGGCTCAGCAGTTATGGCTCGCGGGCTCTAGAGCGCAGGCTTGCTCTTTGTGGTGCACGGGCTTAGTTGGTCCGCGGCATGTGGGATATTCCCGGACCAGGGATTGAACCCGTGTCCCCTGCATTGGCAGGCGGACTCTTAAGCACTGCGCCACCAGGGAAGTCCCTCTCGTTCTTTGTTGAGTAACCTATTTTTTTATCTTCATGAATACAATTTCTTATAACTGTAAATCAAGCAAAATGTTCTGAACTATGTCTACATGTAAGTTATTCCCCAGTGATCTTGAGATAACTCTTAAATTTGTCACATATTTGTTATGTATTTATTTATAATACCTTTGACTACTCTATTGATCTCAACTATCTCTATTTCTTTTTTGGGTATACTTACTATTCTTAGGCTGAACCCCTACTCTCCCAGCTACCAATAATTTTTTTGTTTTTTTCTGTTCAATTTTCGTATGTTTTTTTTCCCTTCACATTCTCAAGTTTTCACTACATCACTGATTCAAACGTCTGCATTGAATTGAACCATTTGTGTCTTGATATATAATTCTATTTGCTTTATTTTTCTTGTATTTTCTTATCTGGATAAACTGACTTTATTTATCCCTTCATCTCAGCCTCTTCACAACATCTTCTTATGGCAAACTGTTTCTAGTTCATATAAGTCAAGTCTTCTTAAATCTTTCTGAGGATATTAAGCTGATATCCTCTAAGATTTCCTTTTGTTTTCCCTCAGGAAATAATTTTGGGAGATACTTTTCCTTCTGAATCTTCACAGTAATGATTTCTTTTTTTTGTGAGCTGAAAACTTCATAGGCTACAAAAAAATTATTAGTCATTCTCCTCAAATTCATCCTTGTATGTAGAGAGATCTATCCAAGTTTCATATTTGCCACAGTATGGGATGCCCTAGAATGTTCTTGCTTCCTTCTTGATCTACTTGGGTGATAAATTTATCCTCTCAGAAGTAGATGCTCAACATCATTAGTTATTAGGGAATGCAAACAAAAATCACAACGAGATACCACTTTATATACACTAGGATGGATATAGTAAAAAAAAGACAATGATAAGTGTTGGTGAGATGGAGACATGGGAACCTCATACATTGCTGGTAGGAATGCAGAATTTTGCAGCTGCTTTGCAAAACAGTTTGGCAGTTCCTCAAAAAGTTAAACAGAGTTTCCATATGACTGAGTAATTCCAATCTTACATCTACCCAAGAGAACTGAAAACATGTTCACACAAAAACCTGTACAGAAATGTTCACAGACGCATTATTCACAATAGTCAAAAAGTGGATACAGGGACTTCCCTGGTGGCGCAGTGGTTAAGAATCTGCCTGCCAATGCAGGGGACACGGGTTCGAGCCCTGGTCTGGGAAGATCCCACATGCTGCAGAGCAACTAAGCCAGCGTGCCACAACTACTGAGCCTGCGCTCTAGAGCCTGCGAGCCACAGCTACTGAACCCGCGCGCCTAGAGCCTGTGCTCCACGGCAAGAGAAGCCACCGCAAGAAGAAGCCCGCGCACCGCAATGAAGAGTAGCCCCCGCTCGCTGCAACTAGAGAAAGCCCGCATGCAGCAACAAAGACCCAATGCAGCCAAAAAAGAAAAAAGGAAAAAAAAGTGGATACAACCCAAATGTCTACCAACTGATGAATGGATAACAAACTGTGGTACTTCCATACAATGGAATATTATCCAGCCACAAAAAGGAGTGACGTACTGATACATGCTACAATATGGATAAATCTTGAAAACATGCTAAGTAAGAGAAATCAGTCACAGAAGAACAGATATTGTATGATTCCATTTATATGAAATGTCCAGAATAGGAAACTCTATAGAGACAGATTAGTAGTAGTTAATAGATTAGTGGTTGCCAAGGACCGGGTGTTAGGGGAGTGAGGAGTGACTGCTAGTAGATATGGGGTTTCTTTCTGGGATCATGAAATGTTCTGGCATCAGACAGTGGTGACAGTTGCATGACCTTGTGAATGTACTAAACTCCACTGACTTGTAAACTTTGGAAGGGGGAATTGTATGGTATGTGAATTACATCTCAATAAAAAGTTTTTTTGATTTAAGAAAGAAAAAGTGGTTTCCCTGGTGGCGCAGTGGTTAAGAATCCACCTGCCAGTGCAGGGGACATGGGTTCGAGCCCTAGTCCAGGAAGATCCCACATGCCGCGGAGCAACTAAGCCCGTGTGCCATAACTACTGAGCCTGCATTCTACAGCCCGCGAGCCATGACTACTGAGCCTGTGTACCACAACTACTGAGCCCACGTGCCACAACTACTAAAGCCCGTGCGCCTAGAGCCCATGCTCCACAACAAGAGAAGCCACCCCAGTGAGAAGCCCGAGCACTGCAACGAAGAGTAGTCTCTGCTCACCACAACTAGAGAAAGCCTGCATGCAGCAATGAAGACCCAATGTAGCCAAAAACAAACAAATAAATAAAATAAATTTTAAAAAAAGAAAGAAAAAGCCATTTTAGATGTCTCAAAAAACATCAGTTTTTAAATCTGCCTTATTTTGATGTTTACTACCTTTAAGGTGAAAACAATTTTCATCCTACATGTACAAGGTGGCTTATGTACTATAAAATATTGTTTCCTTTGTTTATTTTTAAAAATGTTACCTGGCAGCCATCCTGATTAATCCACTTGTGCTGTACTTCATCTCTGGCAGAGTCACTGAGGCCAGCATGATACGCCAGAGCAGCGAGACCATCTTTCTGTAATGTGTCAGCCACTGTGTCACATTCTCGCCTGGAAAGGCAGTAAATTATCCCTGAGTCATCTGCCAAGAAACCAAACAGTATTGTGAAATGAGGACTTTTAACATAAATAACACAACCTACATTATGTTCTCAGAAATATCTGAATTGTAAACAGTGGTATAGTTTTCTCCATAGTTTTCTTACAGCAGAGGAAAACAACATAGGTAGAATAAGTCAAGCAACGGATCACGTGCACTGGAAATGACAAGATTTAACCTTTAATCCTGTCCCTCCAAATAACTCCTTAGGTAGACCTGGAGGAACCCTGGGCTCTGTTTCACACTTGCTATAAAATGGAAAGGCACTCTTCACGAACTGTAGAAAGCATATGGCAATACCTATCAAGAGCCTTAGAAATGCTCCTATTTTTTTTTTTTTTTTTTTTTGCGGTACGCGGGCCTCTCACTGCTGTGGCCTCTCCTGTTGCGGAGCACAGGCTCCGGACGCGCAGGCTCAGCGGCCATGGCTCACAGGCCTAGCCGCTCTGTGGCATGTGGGATCTTCCCTGACCAGGGCACGAACCCGTGTCTCCTGCATTGGCAGGCGGACTCTCAACCACTGCGCCACCAGGGAAGCCCAATGCTCCTAACTTTTGATTCAGTTTCTTTCTAGGAAACAAATCTAGGAAATAAAGTGATCCGAGGACTTATTATATAAGAAGTTTTGTTTATAATTTTTAAAATTAGAAAAATCTTAAGGGCCAGCATTAGGACAATAATTAAGAAAGGAATTTATAAACTAAAACAAATTGCAACTATTAAGTGTTTTCTAAGTTTTTAAAATGACATGAGAAAATGTTTAAAATATAAAACAGGGTAAAGGTAGAAACACTGTAGATACAGTATGCTAATGGAAGGAAAAATGCATACAAAAATTATTGGAAGGAAATAAACCAAAATGGTAACAGTGACTTGTCCTATGGTGAGGCTTGTCTTTTGATTCTTTCTTTTTTTTTGTTGCTTTCTAAATTCTCTTCACTATATTTCTTGCTGTTTGTATGTATGCTATTTTTAAAATCAAAAAATAAAAGGTATTAAAGAAAAAGTCATCTCTCTGTGGCAGAGCCAAAGATACAGATACACACACAAGCTATTATTTATATTAGGTGCTTGGGAGAGGCGGGGACTGGAAAAGGAAATTACTGACTTTTTCTTGGTCTATCTCTGCATTGTTTGATTTATTCAAACAAATACGTATACTAATTAAAGAAAATGAAATAGAGATGTTTAACAAAAAAATTCTCCATGGAAAAGTAGAAAAGAGGTTACATGGAAAACTACCATGAATTTCAGAATCTCATTTTAGTTAATATAACTCAAGGGCAGACACACTTGGGAGAAGGCACTAAAACAGAGCTGTGTAATTCATTAACTGATAGAAGCCAGAGGAAAGACAGTGAAACCATGAATTACAATACAGGTGTGTAGGAGGGAGTATTTAATATACTTTTTGTTAGGGTTTATTGTTAACAAACCAAATGAGATTTTATAATTTCCAGAATTGAGAGAGTTGCAATATTCTGCTCTATGAATAACAAGTTAGTGCTATCATAATGAGAAAAGAAATGTTTAATATGCAATTTTATATATTCAATTGTGGTACTAAAAAGACACTTATTACTTCTAGACATGATTTATCACATGGCTGTACTCACGTGGGTGATGCTTTCTGATCCATTCTAAGCAATCAAATGCCACCTTTTTTGGTTTTTTGGGTAACACGTAGTATTTTAGATTATGTCTGTTGAAGCTCATGCTAAACCTAAAAGAAGTCGCAAACGTAAAATTTTGTTATTATGAGAAAATATAGTTTTAGCCATCTTCAAAAATTAAATGCTGATTTTCCACCATGCAAACCTAATTATCAAGTTGTCTTAAAGTGAATGTAGCTACTGGCAGCTTACATGATAAAACACAGATGGAAGTTAGGTTAAGGATTAAGAATGGTGATAAGGAGGCAAAGTCTACGGGACTAGTTATTAACAAAGAATCAGAAGGAATGCAGAAGAGAAAAACCTGTAGAAAAGACAGCAGCCAGTCTCTAAGATGAGGTGGATTAAAAGTAGAGATGGCTAAAACGTTATTTAAAAGATTAAGAAAATCATAGAGAAAACATACATAACTTTAGGCCACCAACCCCCCCAAATTTTGACTGTGTACAGAAGAGTGAGGAACTGGTTGCAGGGCTGCAGGAGCTCAAGCCTGCAGACCCTGATCTCTGTACTTTGGCTGTGTGCCCAAGGGGAGTGTGGCTGACTCCGAGACAGATGTGCTCCTCTTTCTCTGGCCTTTTGCTCTTGGTCCCACACTTCCTCCCACTTCCTTAGTGAGCTCTTCCTCTCCATTATCTCCTTTCTTGTGCTTCAGTCTCTTCTGTGAACTCTTCCCTTTTATCTCTGCATATGTTCTAGGACCCCCAATCCTAAAACCAACAAAAGCTTCTCTTGAACCTACATACATTCCACTGCAGCTGGCATCCCTCCTCATTCCTTCCCTCCAAAGGCAAGTTTCTAAGAAGACTCATGCCCCCAACCAACCAACCATACATCCAATTTCAACTCTCATCATTTCCATTCTGGCTTTCGCCATTACCATTCTGCCAAAATTGTTTTAGCAAAGCTTTTATTTACTTATTTTGTGGCCGCACCACGCGGCAGGCGGGATCCTAGTTCCCCGATCAGGGATGGAATCCGCACCCCTTGCGGGGGAAGTGCACAGACTTAATCACTGGACCACCAGGGAAATCCTATCAAAGCTTTTAAAAACTGAAGGGTAAGGGAATTGTCACAGGGCCCTTGGCCCTGACGACACCCTCCAGCTGTGCCAGGTTCCAACATTGCCACAGAAAGGAGAAAGAACACTATCTAATGAGTTAAAGTTAGAGCACAAAGACATCTCAGTGCCTGGGTGGACGGAAGGAAACAAAGAGACCATGAACAGCAATAACCTGTGGCAAGGAGGTTGCCTCTAGACAGGGGGTGGGGATCAGAGGGAGGAAAGATGGGGAATAAAACCATTGCCTTTCTGTCTTTGTATCTAAGTCCAAGCTAGATGGGTCCAGGTTTTGTTGCCATTGATGAGATAAGCATTTAGTTTTAGGACTAAAGAACGCAACACTTCACATGTGGAGGGCAGTAGTCGTGTTCCTGAAGGGGCTGCAATACAGATAAGAAGGCCATGCAGTAGGCAGTGGTTCTTTCAACTGTGCAGGTAATCTTTCAACTGTGTCTGGTGCATGCACTGGTCTGTAAGTTAGTTAGTTACCTATTTATTTATTTATGGCTGCGTTGGGTCTTTGTTGCTGTGTGTGGGCTTTCTCTAGTTGCGGCGAGTGGGGGCTACTCTTTGTTGCAGTACGCGGGCTTCTCATTGTGATGGCTTCTCTTGTTGCGGAGCACGGGCTCTAGGCATGCAGGCTTCAGTAGTTGTGGCACGTGGGCTCAGCAGTTGTGGCACGTGGGCTCAGTAGTTGTGGCTCGTGGGCTTAGTTGCTCCGTGGCACGTGGGATCTTCCTGGACCAGGGCTTGAACCCGTGTCCCCTGCACTGGCAGGCGGATTCTTAACCACTGCGCCACCAGGGAAGCCCCACGCAAGCTGGTCTTTTGTCAGACCTCATTCTCTTACCTCTCCACGCGGTTGGCTATCCTTACCGAAAACTCTATTAGTGCTCACACCCGTGGGGTTTCTCCCCCTTACCTGACTTCTTCCTCTCCTTCTCTCCTTTCCTTGCTTACTCCTTAAGTGAGAATCACCCCCCAAAATGCTTGGCTCTTCTTTCTTCTTCCCCTATATTACCTTCTTCAGGGACCTCACTCTCACTGCTTTAAACAGCATCAAATATCATTCCTGCGAGTCCCAACTTGCACCCCCAGCTTAGACCTCTTTTCAGAGTTCTAAACCACAGTCCAACTTCTTTCAGGTCAGTGGTCTAAAGTTGGGGTGTGCATACCCCTAGGGTTCACAAAGACTTTCCAAAGGTACATGAGCAAAGACAATTTTAAAGGAATCAATTTCCAGATCCTCTGTTTTCACACTTACGAATTTCCCCCTAAAGATGGATCTGAGAATGCCTGTAGTCAGGACTCCCTGCTTGTTACTCCTACCCTGTTTTTTCCTTTTACAATTGTCTCTCACTTTTGGAAAACAAACAAATTTTACTTTTCACCCATTCTCAACTTTACCACTGTGCATTGTTTTGGACATAAAAACCTCCAGTACACCAAATAAAACAAATTGAAATATAGTATGGGTGTAGATGAAACTTTCTCTAATCCAAATACCAGAAACTCTTGGTAGGGCTTCATGTCTCTAAGTGTTTTACATTATTTCTGTTAAGAGTAAAGTATAACATCAGGAATAAAGTATTTTGGCCTTTATTGGGGTGTTCTGATTTCAGATATACTGAGAGTAAGGTGGTGGGAGAGAAGATGATTCTCACTTTATGAAGTTGCTTCTTTCATTCCAATTGTCATAAAACGCATTACTCTGAGGGTCTTGTGAGACTACTGTTGAACAATACTTTGAAACCATCCCTCTTAAGGTATCATTTAGGGTTTCCCTGGTGGTGCAGTGGTTAAGAATCCACCTGCCAATGCAGGGAACACGGGTTCAAGTACTGGTCCGGGAAGATCCCACATGCCGTGGAGCAACTAAGCCCACACACCACAACTACTGAGCCTGCACTCTAGAGCCTGCGAGCCACAACTACTGAGCCCATGTGCCACAACTACTGAAGCCTGCACGCCTAGAGCCCATGCTCCGCAACAAGAGAAGCTACTGCAGTGAGAACCCCGTGTACCACAACAAAGAGTAGCCCCCGCTCGCTGCAACTACAGAGAGCCCACGCGCAGCAATGAAGACCCAACGCAGCCAAAAATAAATAAATAAAATGTTTAAAAAATGCTGAAGAATATCCATTAAAAAAAAAGATATCATTTCTATGTACAAAACACTTAGAGATCTTTTAGTGCTTGAAATGGCAGAAGAATGTGTAGCAGATTGTGGCAAAAAAGACGGTAAATAAAGGACTTGATATGCCCATAGACTCTTTTTTTTTTTTTTTGCGGTACGCGGGCCTCTCACTGTTGTGGCCTCTCCCGTTGCGGAGCACAGGCTCCGGACACGCAGGCTCAGCGGCCATGGCTCACGGGCCCAGCCGCTCCGCGGCATGTGGGATCTTCCCGGACTGGGGCACGAACCCGTGTCCCCTGCATCGGCAGGCAGACTCTCAACCACTGTGCCACCAGGGAAGCCCGCCCATAGACTCTTCTGATTGTTCTGTTATTTACAATCACTGCCACAGCAAAGGAAACTGCAGTCCTGATAAAATTAAGGCATAAAAAGAATTGCCCAGGAATACAAATGATGTAGATATTCTTGAAACTTATTTGATATGATTTGGGCTTAAGTTGGGAATGGTGCATGTGTCTGTCTCCCTACCAATAGGAATGCTGAAATGATTATACACAAGAATGGCTTTACTGCTCTTCCCTACAAATTACACTTTAATTTCAGAACCATGTTTTATACATTAAAAAAAAAAAGTTTTGGGTCAAAAAAAGAGAGACAACAGCAAGTGCTGGTGGAATCAGAACCCACTATACCACCGGCGGGAATGTAAAATGGTGCAGCCACTTTGGGAAACAGTCTGGCAAAAGGTTAAAACAGTCCTCAAAAGGTTAAAAATAGTCACCATACGACCCAAGAATTCCACTCCGGGGTATATACCCAAGAGAAATGAAAATACAGGTACACACAAAACCTTTTTGTGAATGTTTGTGAATGTTCATATGCAGTTCAAACCCATGTTGCTCAAGGGTCCACTGTATTCACACAATGTGTTATAATGAGAAAGTTAACAGTCTCTTAGAGGTCATTACATATAACATATCTTACTTGGCCTGTTGGAAAATGGATGTTTGGAATTAACAGATATTCTAGTTAGGGAGAGTTCACATCAATTGATGAATGGATAAATAAAATGTGGAATGCCTATTCAATGGAAGATTATTCAGCCATAAAAAGGAATGAAGTTCTGATATGTGTTACAACACGGATGACCCTTGAACACAGGTTAAGTGAAAGAAGACGGGCACAAATGAGGAGAGAATGGGGAGTGACTGCTGAGTACCAGGTTTCTTTTTGGGGTGATGAAAATGTTCTAAACTTAGATTCGGGGGATGGTTGCACAACTCTGAAAATACAAACAAACGCACTAAATTCTAACCTTTAAATGGGTGAATTTTGTGGTGTGTCAATTATATCCCAATATTTTCTTTTCTAAAAAAGCTTTGGATTCCAAAATATCTTCACAAAGGGAGTACTGATGTTGCCATTAAAATGGTAAATATTATCAGGTCCAGGGTGTCAAATTCATGTCATTTTAAGTGATGTGTCAGGAAATGGAATCAATTTGCACTCAGCTCTTGTTGCTCTTGGAACTGAGGCACTGTCATGAGGATATGCACTAAGTAGTTTATGTGAACTGAAAAACAAAGAATTTTTTTTTATATGTAAGAAAATAAGTTTGGCCAATTGGTTTGGCAATGACAACTGGCTTTGCCAGTTAGGTTATATGGTAGTCATGTGCCACTGTTTGAATAGTTTTGACAAAACTATTATTTAAAAGCATATCAGGGACTTCCCTGGTGGTCTCGTGGTTAAGAATCCGCCTTCCAATGCAGGGGATGCGGGTTCGATCCCTGGTTGGGGAACTAAGATCCCACATGCTGCCGGGCAACTAAACCCACATGCTACAACTACTGAGCACGCGGGTCACAACTAGAGAGCCCATGTGCCACAAATACAGAGCCCACACGTCCTGGAGCCTGTGTGCCACAACTACTGAGCCCATGTGTCACAACTGGAGAGAAGCCCGCACCCTGCAATGATGAGCCCGCTCACTGCAGCGGAGGATCCAGCATGCCGCAACGAAGATCCAAGTAAAAGAAACTAAGAACGACGCAGCCAAAAATAAAAGGAATAAATATTAAAAAAAAAAAAAAAAAGTTGAGGACTAGGAAAGCATATTAAGAGTCCCTGCACACAGCAGAGAAGACATATAAGCTCTTTGAGGGACTGGTATAAAGAAAATTATTTTAAAAAAAGACAAGCATATCACCTGATTAAAAATATATGTCAAAAATATACTAGGAAAGGTGTACTGAAACTAATAGTATTTTGATTTCCCCAACTCCTTCAAATATACTGGACACAAGATTCACCTGACTGAAAGAGTAACACAAATACTTAATAGTCATTAGAAAAGTTTTGGTAAAGCATTTTTTTTAGGGTATATTTCCCAGAAAAAGTAAAGTAACTAATGATCTGACTTATTTTGTCAGTCAGATGGTTTTCAATTCTTCGCTTTTCACAATATTTGCAGGACTCAATTGAGATGTCAGCTGACAGATCATTAAAAATATTTTTTGATGACAGATCATATTTTGGCATTTATATCAGAAGGAATTCGAATAATTGAGCGTTAATACTGTAATAAAATGTTTTCCATTCCTATCCACATGTTTATGTGAGCAACATTTCTCAATGCTATAAAATATACCTATAAAAATAAGAAATATGAACAGACTTGATTTATCCATAGATATATGTACTAACTGGGAAAAAGTCCTATCTCATTAAGTTACACATTCCCCATCAAAATTTATACTTAAGAATTATTTTCAAAAATATTTAAGCTATTCTGATCAGTCAGGTACTACTAATGATTATATATAATTCAATTAGGACAAAAATTTTGGTATAGGAAATTTAAAAATAATTTATATATATTTTTTTCTTGCAGGTAAATATGACAGTAAGCAACAGGCTTCATGCATAAAAATAGGATAAAATTAGGATAAAATTCTGTAGGGAAACTGAAAGAGATATATGAGTTTGAAAAGAAAAGGGGAAATTAAAAAACCTGTTAAAGAGTTAAAATTTTTATTATGTCTTCTATAAGTGGGAGATAGTAGGTACAGAATTGCTATATTATGTTTATAGTCTACTGGATACATTTAAAAGAGCTAAGTAACAATTCTGTTTAAAAATGTTATTTACAACAGACCACTGTTCTCTTTATTTAAACTCATGTTGAGGAATTCCCTGGTGGTTCAGCGGTTAGGACTCCATGCTTTCACTGCCGAGGGGCTGGGTTCAATCCCTGGTTGGGGAACTCCCTCAAAAAACCAAAACAAAACAACAAAAAAAGTCATGTTGAAAAATTTTAGGTGTCAGGTTTAGAAATGTACAAGTGGTACAGTTTTCCAAAATTCTTTTAAGTCTCGTTGATTCAACTCTGCTTTCTCTCTGGATTCTGTCCCCTCCTTCCATTTCTGGTGTTGCCAATCTCTCTCCTAGATGGCTACAACTGGGTTCCTAAAGGGCCACCCTACCTCTAATCTCTTGTTCCTCCATTCCATCTTCTGTTCCACTGCCAGGATTATCATTCAACCATACAGTTCAGATCAAGCCACTTCCCAGGTCAAAATGCCTACATAAGAAAGTCCAAACACTTTACCATCATGATATGCAAGACCCTCCAGATCTGGCCTCAAGCCACCTTTCTAGGGTCATCCCTTTATATTTCTCTTCTTATCCAATGGATTATCCACCATTCCTTGGGCCTGACCTGTAATTTCATGCCAGAAACTGCAGCCCTGAATTCTCACTCTTCCCCTGTTAAAATGCCATTCACCTTCCACTTCATACCCACTAGGATGAGTATAATCAAAAAGATACAGTAACAAGTGTTGGTGTGGATGTGGAGAAATTGCAACCCTCATATACTACAGAAGGTGAAATGGTGCAGCTGCTTTGGAAAATAATCGGGAAGCTCTTTAAAAGATTAAATGTAGAGTTACCATATGACCCAACAATTCTACTCCTAGGTATATGCCTAAGAGAAATAAAAACTTACATCCACATGACAATTTGTATACAAATGCTCACAGAAGCATTATTAATAACAGCCAAAGAATGGAAGCAACTCAAATATCCATTACATGATGAATGGATAAATAAAACAGAATATACATACAATAAAAAAAGGATGAAATACCAATATGTGTTACAACATGGATGGACCTTGAAAATGTTATGTTAAGTGAAAGAGGCCAGTCACAAAAGGCCACATAATATATGATTCTATTTACATGAAATGTCCAGAATAGGCAAAAATCTATGGACACAGAAAGTAATTAGTGATTGCCTAGAGTTGGGGCAATAGGGAATAGTGGGAATTGACTGCTAATGGGTATGGAGTTTCTTTTAAGTGAGACAAAAATGTTCTAAAATTAGGTAGTGGTGGGGTTGCACAGCCCTGTGAATAAATGAAAAATAAAGCAAAACATCAACCCATAGAACTGCATACTTTAAATAGGCGAATTTTAAGGTATGTAATTTATATCTCAGTACAGCCGTTTAAAACTTTAAAAAGACCACTGTTCCTACAAAGTCCACTTCCTTTATAAAACCCTACCTGACCCTCCTCGTAACCGTTAGTTGTTACTTTGGGTTAGTCAATCTTGCCTTCCAAGTTCCAGCAGTCAATTTACATCTCTAATCACCACTTACTTCATTCTGCATTTGGTACAGTATTTAAAGGGTTCTGAAAGCAGACTGTTTGGGTTTAAGTCCTCACTCCAATACTTGCTAGGTGTATGACTTTGTTTAAGCTGTTTAATTTCTTTGTGTTTCAGTTTCCTCATCCATAAAGTGAGGGAAATAGGAGCACTGACCTCATAAGACTTTTGTGTGGATAAATGAGTCAATACACATAAAATGCCAAGAACAGTGCCTGGCACATTGTATAGGCTAGATACGTAAGTGTTAGCTATTATTGTGGTATTATAGTATTATTGTTGTATTTACTGTCTAAATGTCTATCTCTTTTCTCTTTCTCAGTTTGTATTTTAAGGCCCTAAGGAAAAGGAATAAAGTCAATCCATTTTACTTATTTCCATCCTCATATTTCCCAAAGATGAAGAATACTATCACAGACTGGCAGTAGGAGAGAAGCATGGGGGCCATGGCTTCAACCCTAGGGACACATGCCTTCACCAGGGCCATGACATAGCAGCAGTTGGGAAATGTAATCCAAACAAGAGGCCTATGGGCAGAAAAGAAGATCAGGAAAAAAATGTAACAGAAAGTGTTTGTTAAAATCTTTTACTTCCACTCAGGGATTTAAATTCTCCCAAATATAGAAGTACCAAATATATTAAGGAGTCAATAGACCTGCCCAAATTTTCATATTTTACCCACATTTACCAAAGTTCCTCCATATATTTCATTTATTCATTCTTACTGAGTGCCAAATATGCACAGGGCACCACATGCTAGACTCAGGAAATGTACAGTCTATTACTTTTCCAAGCAGACCTCCCCCGCACATTACTAGGAAAAGATATTAAACCTGTATGTGCAATGTTTACTCAAACAAAAATGACAAATTCTACACTTTCAAAAGGTTATTCAAAAGGTGAATTGAATTTATATCACTTCTTTTAACTATGGGCATTTGGCAATTAATATTACTAGTCTAAAAGAATAGTAGATTGCGGGCTTCCCTGGTGGCGCAGTGGTTGAGGGTCCGCCTGCCGATGCAGGGGACACAGGTTCATGCCCCGGTCTGGGAAGATCCCACATGCCGCGGAGCGGCTGGGCCCGTGAACCATGGCCGCTGAGCCTGCGCGTCCAGAGCCTGTGCTCCGCAACGGGAGAGGCCACAACAGTGAGAGGCCAGCGTACCGCAAAAAATAAATAAATAAAAGCTTTTATAGATCAATGGAGTACTTGTAGAAGCAAATTTCTAGCATGTGGGTTCTTCACTAGAACCTGAAGACACCTTAAATATAATGTTGTAATGTAAATCAATTATGGAAGAAAATATCTTTTTCCCCCAAATTTTATACAAACACTCCTCTGCAAGTAAGATTAAAATAAAAATTTTGCATTCTGGGGCTTCCCTGGTGGCGCAGTGGTTAAGAATCCACCTGCCAGGGCTTCCCTGGTGGCGCAGTGGTTGAGAGTCCGCCTGCCGAAGCGGGGGACACAGGTTCGTGCCCCGGTCCGGGAGGATCCCACGTGCCGCGGAGTGGCTGGGCCCGTGGGCCATAGCCGCTGGGCCTGCGCGTCCGGAGCCTGTACTCCGCAACGGGAGAGGCCGCAGCAGTGAGAGGCCCGCATACCGCAAAAAAAAAAAAAAAAAAAAAAAAAAAAAAAGAATCCGCCTGCCAATGCAAGGGACACCGGTTTCAGCCCTGGTCCGGGAAGATCCCACATGCCATGGAGCAAATAAGCCTGTGCGCCACAACTACTGAGCCTGAGCTCTAGAGCCCGCGAGCCACAACTACTGAGCCCACGCTCCACAACTATTGAAGCTGGCATGCCTAGAGCCCGTGCTCTGCAACAAGAGAAGCCACTGCAATGAGAAGCCCATGCACCACAACAAAGAGTACCCCCACTTGCCGCAACCAGAGAAAGCCTGCGCGCAGCAACGAAGACCCAATGCAGCTGAAAAAACAAAAAACAAAAAACAAAAACCATACTGGCTCCCAGCCCCCCAAATTCTGATATAATTGGCATTGGGTACAACCTGGGCATTGGGATTTTTAAGACTCCATAGATGATTCTAATGTGCAGCAATCTGGGAACCACTGCCCCAGGGTTTCAAAATTAATAACTTTCGACAACTTACACCTGAGGTCTAAGAATCTTCAGCTGAGTGAGGATGTCCTTCTGTACCCTGGGATTAGCTGTGGCAGTAAGAGCCATCACTGGAACAGAGGGAAACTTCTGGCGAAGCATATTCATTCTTTTGTAATCTGGACGAAAATCATGTCCCCACTAGTTGGAAAAAAAAAAAAATACTGCTTTTCAGACTATTTGGATCTTCCTTATATAAAGCAAAGACTGCTCACTATATTAAGAACCACCTTATTCTTCAGTGAAATAGCAGAATAATTCACTCAATACTTTTTCTCTTGGCTCTGAAAATATATATACTGTTGGTAGTACAATCTATTGCTATCTCAAGACACAGAGAACAGTATTTACCTGACTGACACAATGTGCTTCATCAATAACAAAACGTGCCAAGAGCTTCCTCTCATACAGATTCTCCAGAGTAGAAATCAGTCTGTTACTTGCACAGACCTAGACCAGAAATGCATTAATCAGACATTTTAAAACATTTAAACATATCACCTTAAGGATTTGGTTGTCTTTAAGTTCCACTATGACTTAAGTTGTATTAAAACCTCCACATAAAATTGGTTCTGATTTCGATCTACAAATAGAATTAGAAGTAATAGGAAATAGCAAATGAGACATTTTAGAATGTTTACCCACATTTAGCAAACAGTTTTGTATTAGGTCAGTGGTTCTAAAAGAATTTTTCTTCCTCAGTGTATTTGGGAGCCACCACATGTTTACACTGGTAGCAGGGTTACAGACGTGTGTTACGTGTGTGTGTTGTCTGGGGGAAATATATACATATATATGTACATATATACATATATATATGTACATATATTTATATTTTGTAGCTCTGTCCATAACTGGGCCTGGAAGCAATGACATGCCAGTAGCAATGACCATCTCTGGCACCCATGTCTTGATAGACATGTCAAAAGGTCACAGAAGCCAGTCTGATGGAGCCTTCCCACTGGCCAAACCTAGGACAATTAGAACATCAAAATACATAACAGTAAATGATTATAACCTACTGAATAAATTAAGAATCCATGATTTCATATTGATACAAATAAATATGTGGGTAAAGGGAAAAGCCTGTCCTTACAGCAGAATGCCAACTAAATTGGAAAAAAATCATCATTTGGCACTCACTACAATAATAACTGATGGGGAATCATCAATGGATGAGGAAACTCTTGGGTCAAAGTCTGATGAGTAATAGGATATTTACATAGTCTCAAGAGTATTCCATAACAGGATACCTACAATTACAAAAAAAAATTAATTTATTTTTGTAATTAATAATCACAAAAAGGAGTAATTTTTCAGTGCAAGTCTGGCAGACAACAACACCTTAACCAAATGATCAAAGTTAACTAACATCACCAGTAATATAGAATGAATCAACACCAAATGCCTCCTGATAGGATACACTGAGAACATATCACCACTTCTGTGATATTCCCCTCAAAAATGACGAATACAAATCCAATCAGGAGGAAACATAAACTGAGGGACAGTCCTCAAAACAACTGGCCTTCACTCTTCAAAACTGTCAAAATCATGAAAGACAGAATGCAATGCATAATCTAGGATTTTCTTTTGCTAGGAAGGATATTATTGGGACAACTGGTGAAACTGGAATAAGGTTTACAGATAAAGTAATAGTACTGCATCAATGAATATTTTCTAATTTTGATAACTGTACTGAGGTTATGCAAGAAAATTCCTCGTTTTTAGGAGATGTACAGTGAAGTATTTAGGGTTAAAAGGATATGTCTGCAACTTACTCTCAAATGTTTGAGGGAAAAAGAGAGAAAGAATGATAGAGCAATTACAGTAAAATGCTACCATTTGGGGTTTCCTGTGAAAGTTATACAGGAATTCTTGCACTAAACTGTACATCAGAAATTATGTCAAAAAATTTAAAATATACATATTCTAATGGACTTTTATGAGATAATAGAAAAGATACACTGGTCTCTGCTCCCAGTTCCTGGGCACAGGGTTCCTGGAACTCTTCTAAATTCTTAAGTGATAAAGCAGTACGAGCAGGACTCCCCCGGTGGCGCAGTGGTTAAGAATCCGCCTGCCAATGCAGGGGACACAGGTTCGAGCCCTGGTCTGGGAAGATCCCACGTACCACGGAGCAACTGAGCCCGTGAGCCACAACTACTGAGCCTGCGCTCTAGAGCCCATGCTCTGTAACAAGAGAAGCCAGTGCACGGCAACAAAGAGTAGCCCCCACTCGCCGCAACTAGAGAAACCCCACGCGCAACAACAAAGACCCAATGCAGCGAAAAAAAAAAAGAGCACTAGGAGCATCTTTTGTTCTCTTGAGGCAACTGTGGGTGGGCTCCTGGGTGGGGGATGGTCACCAGAAAGACCAAGCCATGATTAGAAACTTGGAATTTTCGGTCCTACCCCCATCCACCAGAGAAGGGAGTCAGTCTAGAAGTGGAGTCAATAATTGTTCATGCCTACGTGAGGAAGCCTCCATTAAATCCCAAAAGTATGGGGTTCAGAGAGGTTCTAGGTTGGCAAACACATCCATGTACTGGAGGCTGATGCACCCCAACTCCACAGGGACAGAAGCTCCTGTGCTCAGGACCTTCCCAGACCTTGCCCTGTGTATCTTTTCATCTGACTGTTTATCTGTGTCCTTTACCATAGCCTTTAATAAACTGGTAAATGTAAGTAAGTGTCTCCCTGAGTTCTGTGAGCTGCTCTTGCAAGTCACTGAATTCAAGCAGGAGGAGGTCACGGGAACCTCTGATTTGTAGCCAAGTCAGACAGAAGTTGCGAGTACCCTGTGGATTGGCCCCTGAAGCAGAGTGGTAAGAATCTTGTGGGACTGAGCCCTTAACCTGTGGGACCTGACACTATCTCTGGATAGTTGACAGAGAACCACTTGATATAAGGAAAAACCTCCATACATTTGGTGACTAGAAGTGAAATATTCTATGTGAGTAGTAAAGGAGAGAAACACAGAAGGGAAAGACTGGGTTTTTCCTTACTCAGTAGGGAGAAATGGGTTGTTTTTCTAAAAGACCTTTAATATAGTATTTTAAAATAATGATATAAATACAAACCTTCTCTGGAGTAACATAAAGAAGTTTTATAATCGGGTCTTTTTTTGATAACTGGAGGTAAATATTTGTAGCTTCTGAGTCAGTCTTATCACCTGTCAGATATGTAGCCGGAATCTAAGCATAAAAGTAGTAAACAATTTAAATTTTACCCATTAATCTGATCAAGATTACATTTATCCGTAGGTTTCATAAATATTTTACAAGTCACATATCACACCTGTCAAAGGAAAGAGAATCTCAACATAATAAAAAGTAATCAGTACATATTTTTTAAAAACCCTTGTTAACCATAAGTCAAATATTCTTCCCATTGTTTACTTTTCTTTTCTTTTTCCCATTTCTTTACTTCCTTAGCTTTTCATATCTCTAAGTAAGATAAATATGAATTCAGCATCCAGAAGGTTCCAGTCCTAATGTATGACCACATTTTTTTTTTTAAGGTAAATGCATCTTTTGGGTTTTAATGCATACCAACACTGAAAGGACCATAACATCATGAATGGCTGAACAATGGCTACCATCACTGTACTAAAACATGCTTGGGAAGAAAAATCAAACCAGTGGTCTTGTTGAGGGGTGGTGGTTCATAAAGCTGAACACAGTTCTGTTTGATCACAGTATGTAGGATTTAATAGACTGTATTCATATACTTTCTTAACCTCAGCCAGGAGGAAAAAGGACATATGTGTGTGGGCATGCACATGTGTATACATTTTAAGATATTAAGGGAGTGAGAGAGAACTAAGCTGATCTGACAGGAGTAAAAAAAGAAATCCTTCCATATTAGAAAAAAAAATTTACATCAGTAAAATACAGGTTAAAAGTTCTTACCAAAATACATTCTTCTAGAGTAAAATCAGACTGAATTCCAGAAGGTTACCTGTACCAGAATTCTCAAAGACTTGTTCTTAAATGTACAACTTAACATAACTGCCGTGCTTTATTCTTATAATCCATGAACTATTTAATGAAAAAGGTTACCCAGAGTACTGAAATATAATTGTTTTTAAATTATGTTTTTATTAGCATTTTTATTATAATTGGTAGTGTTTTAACTTACATCAAAGGAAGTCAGCTTTTGGACTTGATCTATTATAAGTGATCTCAAGGGAGAAATGACAATAGTGACCCCGGGAGAAACACAGGCAGGGAGCTGGTAACACAAGCTTTTACCACCTCCTAAAAGAAATCACAACAACAAAAAAATCTGTCAGATTCTATTTTGAGAGTATGAAGGCAAAAGTTACAATATAAATTACATATAATATTTAAAGTAATTAACTAATAGGACACCAAGTGATATTCTCCATGGTGCCAAAATATGCCATATTTGAATGAGCCAAAATACTTGGGCAATTTAAATGTGTAAAAATGATCTCTTGGGAAATCTTATGTATGTGCATATCATAGCAAAAGCAAGAATCAGGGCAGGAAACTTAAATGCAACAGAATTACTTTAAAAGTCTACTTGAGAAAGACCCTGAAAAATGCCCCCTTGAAACCCTAGAGGATAATGGAAAGCCATGAAAACCACTGGACGAGGGAGGCGAGAATTCTAGCATTGAACCAACGCCTCAAACCTCTGGACGAGATCAATGCCAGGGTCCTCTCCAGCTTTAGTTTTGGAGTACCAAATTGGAGTCAAATCAGAAGACACAGACTGAACAAGTTAATGAAGTATGAACTGCTGATTAAACAAACCAACACTGTCTAAAATTTAAAATCAGCTTGAAAAAATTCGGATACCCAGGCAACATTATTTAATGACGATGGCAACAACTGATCGAAGGTCACAACAAAGGTGAGTAAAAGGCAGAGGGAAGACTACATGTGAATAATGAAACTCCAAACTCCCTATGCTGCTGCTGCTTTTTTTTTTTAAATTGAAGTATAGTTGATTTACAGTGTCCCCATGCCTCTTATCCTAATGGCTTATTTAATATTCTTATTTGGATGACTATAAATCATTGAACAGCTGTTATAAACTTTAATAGCATGATGAAAAGTCCTGGATCTCTTCAAAACTGAGGACAAGAAAGAACTACACTCAATGCTTTTCACTTAATCCTCAAGACATTCTGTGAAGTGGGCACGTTGGTATTATCCCCACTGCGCACACGAGGAGACTGGGGTTCAGGGAGTGAAGTGCCTTGCTCAAGTCCACACTGTTAATAAGTGGCAGAACTGTGCTTTAAGCCTAGGGCATCGCTCCAAAGCTGATGATTTTTAACCACCATACAACACTAGGTTGTACCAGATAAACTGCCAGAAATGGTTGTGGTCTCTGACAGTAACTTTTTGGCTCATGTTCCAGGCTAATTTCGACTAGAAAAAAGAAAAATTCCCAAAGGAAAATCCTAGATCAATTCAACACAACGAGCTTTGAGTTGAAAATCTTAAAGGGCAATAATGCTATCATATCAACAACTAGAATAGAGGATTGAGGTGATACTCTTTCCTAACTATGGCATGGGAGGTTTAGAGGTCCCTAAATGATAGAAATACTGTGTAGGTTCTTTTTATTTTTATTAAAGGGCTTTCATTTAACATCTGCCAATGGATTCCTGCCAATTCATATCTAAAAATACATACCAGTGGGCATTAAGATAAAACAGTCTTCACCAAGTAGTGCAGCATTGATCGCCTCTAGCTGATTAGTTCTAAAATTATGCAGGCCAAATTTTTTATGAAAAATCTTCATCATTTCTTTCGTATGAGGAAAATTAAGACTTTGGAAACGCTCGTGTTTCAGATCTCTGGATGCTAAACTTTGCTCCGACTTGTCTAAGAAAATAATCAATGTTAAGAGAAATCAGGGCATTACTGTAACAAATCAGTTTTAGCATTTTAACCCTTTGCCCTGCATAATCACTGGTGTACGTTTCCTTGCAGCACATCCTTCTTTACCTGTTTATCAGGGTTTCCTCGCTGTCCAGTGTCAAAGCCACCAGAGACATCCTAAGGGCCAAATTCAAGTCTTTCCTTGACTTTTCTGTAGCATCTACCACTACTATTTATTCTCTCCTTCTCTCTTGACCTTCAAGATAATCATGGGTTTTCTACTCGCTTTAAATTCCCTTTCCTGGCTCCATTTCCTCCACTTGCCCCTTAAATTTGGGAATCTTTTGGACACTTGGGACTGGGTTTTTTAGACTGGTTTTTTTTTTTGGAATTTTCCTAGTCCTATAACCTTAAACATCACCGATGTGCACACAACGCCTAGATCTCTTTCTTAAGACTTGACGGATGCCCTCCTAAGTTCCAGTCCTGCACGCACCTCGAACTGTCCGCCAGACATTTCTACCTGAACGACTTCCCAACACTTCATGCTCAACAAGCCTTAAAACAGCCCTCCTCAGCTTTGCTCCAAATCTGCCTGCCTCCTGACTTCCCTGTTTCTGTTAACAGTGTCACGGTATTCCCAGTCACTGGGTCTGAAACCGCAGAATCACCCCAACTTCCTCTGGTTCTTCTTCCATGGCGTCTCTCACGCCCACCCCCATGCTGCCTCCTCGCTGTTGCAACTCTGGCTCCGCACAGAGAACAAGAGGTGCTCACGCCAGTGCTGGCGGTTACATCAACCCCGGCACTCAACCACCGCAAAGATAACTGCTAACACCAAGTATGACATGCCCAAACATGACACAAAAATAAATCCATTAATGGTTATTTTAAAGGTCAACAGAGGAACTGTAAGAACAACCTCCATGGCATTAAGTCATCAATGGCAAAAACAGGGAGGACTGTACTTTACAAAAACTTACACGTATAAACTTGTTTCAGTTAAAAAAAACCCACTTTTTGATAACTTTATAGGGTCGATGTAAGGTTTTAAAATTAATTTTGGGTTTTCTCTGCAGCCTTTACAACGTCTAATTTCACTCTTCCAAAAACTTCTCTCAGTAAACTGTGAGCTCCAAGAGGGCAGGAACTCTTCATTACTCATCTATTACCAGGACCTGTGCACAGAACATGGCACACAGTGGGCACTCCATAAATATCTGCTGAATGAATTAAAATGATTCTAGACCAAAAGAAATAACTTGACTGATTTAAGAAATTTCTGACTTCTTATCTTTCTTAGGCTGTCCTAAATTTTAATATTTGAAGACATAAAACATGTTTCTACTTTATAAACTGATCAGTTCTCATCAATCCAGAATTCTAAAAATACACACAATTACAATTTTAACATAAATTCAGCTTTGCTTTTTATCCATCCCCCATAATCATTAAAAACTTGGCCCTCATGAGCTTTACTGTTTTAGGGACTGAAAAATGTTAATTTAAAGGCAAAGCACATTTGTAATGACTTTAGAGTTTTACTACAATAGGTTATAATTACACATTTTATAAAACTACAGCTGCTACAGAGACAAAAGAGCAACTTGCTTTTGAAATTGTGATTTGTAATTCATATTATCAGCAGAAATTTGCATAGAAACAATGTTGTTTTCAGGCCATGATGATTTGCTATGGTTTTTCTTATACGATTCCTATTTTGGACAGTTTTGTTTTCATATAAAATATAAGCATTCAATTTATTTTAAACTTACCAGTGTAATTCTGAATTGACTCTGAGAAGTTTTTATTCTGAGCAGTAGATGCCAGAAGACAGTCTGTCTTGGCTGAAGAAGAAATTCTTTCTGATACTGATTTAACGGGCCAACCTTCCTTAATAGGTTGATAGGCAGCTGTGGAAGACTTGCTGGCTGCTAAATTATGCATCACATTTTCCCAGTCATCATCATCATCATCAAAGTCATCTATGTCAAAACTGTCAATATCACAGGACGCCTGGATTTCTCTTTCCAAGTCATTCATAGAGGTAGTGTGTTTATTCTGATCTTTCACAGCAGTGCTTGTGAGAACATTTCCTGGGAAATAAGAGCTTTCATTTCTTTTTTCAACCCTTGGTGTTTCAGCCCAGTTGCTACTTACAAAGGACTCCTGTAAATGGGAATTGAATAACGGTCTTTCAAAGAGATTCTTGGTGGTGGCTGAGAATCCTGTCTTTCCTGGGGTAGGAGTCAGTAAACACTCCCCAGTAGAAATGGAATTTGAGGGAAGGTTTGGAAAAGTGAACTCCTTAACAGAATTCCCTGTAGGACAGGAATCACCCTTTGGAAATGCACAAGGTGGGGAAACAGATGCCGTATCCTTCACAGAGCTACCAAGTGAATCAGGCCTGCATCTCCACAATGAGCCAAGAACACTGGCATCACTCGTATTAAAATCTGCTTCAGCCAGGAGTTTCCTTCTGAAGAGAGAGCACAGAACATCAAATTAATTATAAGTAGTCAGCTATGGTAGGCACACAAGTTTATCTTTAGTTTTCATGCCAGATTGTGGCAAAATATATCCTCTTTCTTCCAACCTTAAAAATTTGAATACAAATGCTAAAGGAACAGTTGTTGTTGTGTTGTTGTTTTTTGCAGCAACTTTAAAGAGACTTTTAATGACTGGGGTGTGGCTGGACCTAAATGTTGAATGGTTTAGGGCACTGGGGACTGAAGTCAAGCAATCAGTAGGCCATCTGAGACTGCTGCTGGCGGTAGCCACCGCGGCGCAGGTAGCCCTCATTTGAAAAAGTAATAAATTTAAGACACAGTGTATAGCACAGGAAACTCTACTCAATACTCTGTAATAACCAATATGGGAAAAGAATCTGAAAAAGAATAGATATATGTACATGTATAGCTGAATCACTTTTTTTGTATACCTGAAACCAACACAACATTGTAAATCAACTACATTCCAATTAAAAAAAAAAAAAAGACAAAGTGATAATTATCTTATTCAATTTCTTGGCCAGAATGCCTGGAAATCTTGCCCCATACATTTGTGACTTACAGTAGTGTTGGAAAGGCAATCAGATATATTCCAGAAGGAGAAAAATCGATACCTTATGTCCCGCTGCTGGAGCAGTTTGTTCCCACAATCCAAAGTTTTCAGCTTGTCATCAGGAATAGTGTCAACTAATTCACAGATATGGTCCATCACACGAATAAGTTGCTGCTGTAAACTTATCTGTCTAGCTATAAAGTATTTATGTTGTTAATATTTTTTGTCAACAACAAAAAAGACTTAACAATTTGAAAGCCATGCATGTAAAACTTGAAGTAGTTTACAAACGAGATTAGAAACAACCATATATTCTCCCATTATCTGCCTATGAAATAATTTGAAGTCATACTGTCTCTATTCTAGATCATAAGAGCTCATAACTATGCTATCCTTTCATTTCATGTTAATTCTTATTATTTCTCTTAGGGTAACCAAAGTTGTTGTAAGATACAAAAGTTCATGATGTTTTACTAACTTCAGGTGTAAATCTCACCATGCCCATACAAAGTACATTATAAAGTGTGGACAGGTAAGAACCTCACCTGTTGCTCTGGTTTGCCTGCCAACCAGTGTTTCCTAACAGTACAGCACTTGGACTTTCTTTTTGGAGACTACTCCCATCCCCACTCCCACGTCCTCAGTGGGCATCTGATGTAAGGCAGCTCAATGAGAATGAGATCTAAGAGTTTTTCGACTGACTGGAAAAGAGGACCTCTCTCATTAACAAGTTGGACAGGCTGCTGGTGGCCATCTCTGCCACCACGGAGAAAAACACAAGCTTGAAAATAAGACCAACACAAGGAAAAGCAGAAAACAGAGATGGAAGGAAATGGGAGATTGAGATGGAGAGGTGGGATGAAAGAGAAGAGAGAGAAGGCAGGTGTGAAAGAGAGAAATTCCTGATAACAATGTCTGGACATCTGAATCTGGCCAGCCCACTTCACACTTTTAAATTTCAGCTATGTAACTAAGAAATAATGTCAAAGGAGGGGTGGCTTTATATGACGGAAAGAAAAAAAAAATGGGTTAGGGTAGCAATGGGAAGCAAGGAAGATGCCTACCTACCTCTGGGGCCTAAGGTATGCAGGAGAAATAAACAGTTTAGGTGGGCTGCAGAGGCAACAGTATTCTCAGAAGACAATCAGAGAAGAGAATGACGCTACTGGGAAATTGTTGACCGAGGGCAGCTGGTTGAAGGGTCTAAGGGGCTGGAAGGAGAGGAAGAGAGGACAGACACGGGTGGTGGTGGGGACAGAACACAGACGATGGGACGCATGCGTCTGTGTGAAAATGACCTGGGGGTGTGGACTTTTACTAGTTTTGGCTGATGTAAATAGGGTCATGAAGTATGAAATGGTAAAAGTGGACTTGCTGGGTTCCTGTTTCACATCTGTTTTCTCTGCAAGGAGAATGGGCACTGGATTGGAGAGAGGAGCATAAACAACAGTCCAAAGGAAATGAAAACCAAGACAGGCTCAGAGAAATACAGCTATTGGAAAGGAGCTCAAGTCTTCGTCTAGACAGATTACACCTCAGAGTACAAAGGAAACCTGCAAAGAAAATGTCACTGATGCATGCGGCATCTAGTGAATAGGAGAGGTGATGGAAGAGTGAAGACAGGCAAATATTGTTTTAATTTTCAAAAAAATTCTAAAGGGACGCCAAAAGCTTCAGGCTGGTGATCTTAAAGTTAATTCAAGGCAAAATTCCAGAACATGTTATCAAATGGCTGCTTTGTGAGCTCTAAGAAAAAAAGGAAACAATTATAGAGTTAGCAAGAGTTCATAAAAATAAACCAGCCATCTCAACGTATTTCCTTCTTTGAAAGGATTACTAGACTAGCAGATAATGACAGCTACCATTTATTGAAGGCCTACAGTATGCTGGGCACTTTACCTTGAATTCTGACAACTACTGGGCAAGGCAGGCACTATTTTCCTCATTTAACAGAAGAAGAAACTGAGGTCCAAAGAAGGTTAATTAATTAGGCATAGTCACCCAGCCAGGAGTGGGAAGAGGCAGGCTTGTATACTAGGTCTGCATCACTCTAGAGCCAATGTCCCACCTGTTCCCTCTTGCTGCCTCAGACCTTGAACTTCTAGAGTCATATGACTGAGTCTTTTGCATCCCCGTGGACAAGGGAGAGAAACAGTCTGAAGGCAGACGTGTAACAAGATGAACAAGAAGTGGTGATGAAGGGACTGATGTCAGCTGAGAGGGAGGCCGCTAATGACATTCTGTGGGACTCTGTCCTTGCTCTCGTCCTCACTAACCATTTTAACCAGTGAAACTTAATGAGGCAGAAACAGTATACTGCAGTGGCTATCAATGTAAACTCAAGAGCCTTAAGACTGCTGGGTTCAAATCCTAGCTCTGCTGCTGTCTAACTCTATGACCATGAGTAATTATTTAACTCTCCTGTACCTGGGTTTCCTTATTTGTAAAACAGGATAACAGAAACCACCTTAAAGGATCACTGTGAGGATTAAATTAGTTAATATTAAGGCACTTAGAAGAGTGCCTACAACATCAGGTTTTTCAGGAACATCTCTAACAATAAACTCAGAGACCAAAATAAACAAAAAGAAATTCAGAGGAAACAGGAACAACACACAGAGATCGCTACACATGTGCGTGTGCCTGCACACACCCCCCCCATAAGTACAGCACCCATCAAACAAGGATAGAAAACGTTACAGAAATACTCAGAGAATACAACACAGCTCTTGGAAATTAATTTGATGAAAATGAAAAATTCCATCAAAGAGTTAATTTAAAAATTGAGGAAATCTCCCAGAAAGCAAAAAGGCAAGAGATGAAAAATAGAAAAGTTAATTAATGGACGTCTAATAGCCCAATAATTAAAGTTCCAAGAAGAGTGAAAGAGAAAAGAAAAAACAAAATAAAAAGGAATGATACCAGAAAAAATTTCAGAATAGAAGGACACAAATCTCTAGCCTAAAAAAGCCTCTGGGAAGTAGGAATCAGGAGTGGGAAAGGAGACAGCTGTTTTTCAAAGCCTTGTAGTGCTACTGGATTATTTATACCAGATATTTAATAGAAAAGTTAAAAATGAATTAGAGACAAATCAAACAAACAAAAAGTATTAAACTTCAAGCGGACACCAAGAATCAAACCCAGAGAACCAGGAGGATGAAAGGTCTAGAAACCAGTACCTATAAAGAAGAGGTAAAAGATCTAACATTATTTAGCGCTAGGCGCTTCAGACTTATCTCACAAAGATTAAAGTTACAGGAAGGCAAAATTTTGGTTCAGTAAGAGAAATAATTCATTGTCTATTTTGAAAACGTTACTTGTTAGAAAGTCACCTTGTGAGAAAACAAGTTTCTCGGTTTCTGAGCTGTTCGAGCAACAATGGTTAACCCATGGTGGTTGGTTATTATGGATGATTCACTGTTACAGGAAAAGGAACTGAGCTCACCATCGTGTACTATACCGTCACAGGTTAAGAATACAATCTTATTTTGTTTTCATAAGTAAGCAGTTACAATATGTGTTATGTCCCAAACACTTTTGTACCATCATAGCTTGTGCTGGTTTCTTGATTAGGCTGCTTTGTAGTCATTTTCTCAGATTTTGACAAGTCTTCTGATATGCTAAGACCATCCTTGCTGTCAGAGGTGTCAAGATCCTTCAACACACTACAAATTAAAAAATATTAAACTGATCACAGTACAGACTAGACCAAATGCATACTTTTTCCTCTAATATTTTCCACAACTGGTCAGATGCTATGTGACAGAAAAGAGGAACATGTCTTTCTGTCTCCTCTATTCTAAAACCTCTTTAGCTGGCACTCAAAGTTTTCCATCTTTTGGCCCCAATATTATTTTTAATTAATTAATTAATTAATAATTTATTTCTGGCTGCATTGGGTCTTCGTTGCTGTGCGCAGGCCCTCTCTATTGTGGCTAGCAGGGGCTGCTCTTTGTTGCAGTGCGCGGGCTTCTCATTGTGGTGGCTTCTTTTGTGGCAGAGCACGGGCTCTAGGCGCGTGGGTTTCAGTAGTTTTGGTATGTGGACTCAATAATTGTAGCTCACAGGCTCTAGAGCACAGGTTCAGTAGTTGTGGTGCACGGGCTCAGCTGCTCCGTGGCAGGTGGGATCTTCCCGGACCAGGGATCAAACCCGTGTGCCCCGCATTGGCAGGTAGATTCTTAACCACTTTGCCACCAGGGAAGACCCTGGCCCCAATATTAACACATATAAACATGGTCAGTCTGATTGGATATAAAAAATACTTTTTAAAAGTAACAAAATAAATAGTCCTAAAGGAGTATTAAAGAGAGGGTACTATGGCAATCCAAAGAAAGATAACACTTTCTGGAACTTGAGAAGGCTTTGCCAAGAAAGTAGGATTTGAGGAAACCTTGAATGATGGGTATGGAAAAGTGACAGCTTACAAAGGAGAGATAAAAAAGACAATTCTATTTACTCAATATTCAGGAATCAACTGTACTTTTCTAAAGAAGGATTTTGGAATGCAATCTTCTAACTAAATCAAAGAATGATGAATAACTATGTTATAAGTCTCATTAGGCTACTGAGCTTAGGGTTACTGTAAGAGCATTACTGGAGATAAAGCTGTAAAGGTAATTTGGGGTCTGAAGATGGAGGATTTTGAGGCCCAGCTAAAGAGGTTTAGGAATACAGGAGTTACAGAAACATGTTCTCTTTTCTGTCATACATTACCTGACCATTACACCTCTGAAATTAATTCAGAAGTCACAACCAGCACATTAAAATGAAATAAAATATAACAGAAAATTTGTGTGCACTGCACATACAGTATCATTTGTGAAAATTCTGTTTTAGTTTTATAATGTATACAAATATGTATACTAGGTTGTAATGGAAAAATATAGAGAGAATTTACCTTGGAAACAACCATTTTCCAACTGCTGAAGATCTAGGTAAAATAAATTATGGTATGAAAATTCATTAAATTATGTAGCCATTAAAAGGAATAAAAATAATGACTATGTAGCAATATGTAAAATGTTTTAAAAATAATGTTAAAAGAAAAGCAGATTGAAAAATTATAGCTACATGTTGATTATGGCAATGTAAAAATCATATACACATGTAGAGAAGAAACAAAACAATGTGGCTAGGGAACGGGGGAGGAACAAATTAGGAGAACAGAAACAAAATAGATAAGGAATAAGGATTTACTGTATAGCACAGAGCATTATACTCAATGTCTTGTAACAACCTATAATGGAATATAATTGAAAACAAAACAAAACAAAACTGAATCACTATGCTGTATACCTGAAACTAACACAATATTGTAAATCAACTAGACTTCAATTAAAAAAAAACAAAAAAACTTAATGTGGATACAGAAAATGTTCGGTTTGTTGGACTGTAAGACTACCAGTAAGTATCCTGTTAATGTGGTTACAATATTATCTGTGCAATACACACTTTTTTAATAAACAAAGAAAAAAGCCAGGCAGTCAACAGGGAATGGTATGGCCCAGAAAATAACCCTACACTGGATCTTAGTCCATTTGCCGTTAATTATCACCCCAGACAATCCCCTGCTCCTCCTTAGGCCTCAATTGCTGCTCCTGTTAAAAGAGAATGCTGATGAATGCTATATGAACTGTTGCTCAGTTTTTTCCCTACAATTCTGTCTCAATTTCTACTGGGAGGTGAAAGAGGGGAGCTCTTACAGTTTTTCTGTTTTGTTGTCTAACAGCAATCATGCTTCAACCTTTCCCACCTCCTTTAACATCTCAACCCACCTGTTAAAACAAAAACCTAGAGAAAACTAGGTTATGCAGGCAAACACCTCCTTCCTGCCTTCAGGTGATATACTAGAGGGATTTGTTTCTCATCAAAATATGGTTAACAGCAGAGTATATACCAGACCACTCAACTGAACTGTGATTTAGACTGGGGTGAGGATGGAGGTAACAAAGACTATTAATATTTTCAGCTATTAATGAACTATAATGAACTATGTGGACTCTATTTTTCCCATAATACTACCACTTAACCACAATCATGTCACTAATTTACCAAAATTCAGTGAATGACAAATACAATGATCAATTCTATTTGGATTTTTTAAAAAGTAAAAACAAAAAAGACGAAAAAGAACACATTACATACTAAGCCACTTCACAAATAAGGTGTTAGTTTTGGGTCATTTCAGATACATGAGATTGGAAATACAGTATCTTTAGGACTATATTCCACATGCCAAGATCAATTACATAAAATTGTTTAGAGGTCCCATGTAATGAATCATAATGGAACTTTACAGCTTTAGAATACCAACAATTAAATAAAATGTAAATAAATAGGGACTTCTTGATGCTTTCATTTGGATACAAAATAAATTGTGCAGAAGCATGAAATTAATCAATTTTGAGATGATACTACATAACTAAAATTACTTCAGCTACCCCAGAATCAATGTTTATTAATTAATAAACTATTTTACCTAGAGTATTTTAAAGAGGATGAAGAGGTTGAAGTCATTCCTTCTTCTGGAGAAGGTGGAACAAAATCTATGTCATAATCATCTTCATCAAGCTCAACACATGAAGATTTCTCAACTGAATGTAATTCCATTTCTTCCAAGTTTTTCTTCTTTTCACAATTATCTAAAGTACAAAAAAACAGCTGATAAACATAGGTTATTTTAATATTAATGAGACAGAAAGAACAGGGTGTGAGCACTTGTGAGCGCTCTGAGCAAGTCATAAGCACTACCACCACTCTGTGCAATACGAGTTCTCTCCTCTCACACGTTAGTGTTGCCTTGTTTCTTCATAAACGATGATTGAGTCAACTGGATTAAGTCCAATGAGTGCTGGATTGAGGCTGACGATTTGCTTAAGGATTTTCATGACTGTCTCCAGTTAAATTATGAAACCATCCTTATTATCAGTACTTTCGTTTCTCTATTTTTCATTCACACTTAAATAAGAGTGAAGTACAAGTAAGCCTGATAATTGTACAAACACTGTTGTTTATACAGATAAACAATCTCTACTTTACCACAAAGGTGTCTTAGTTATTTAAGTCTCCCAGAGTGTCTCTCTCTTGACTATGTGGGAAAACACTGCCAAACTGTTGCTCTCTAGTTTACCTTTAACCAAATTTTCTCTTCATAAATAGCAACATGTTTGATTAGACTATAGTTTTGCTTATTATCAATCACTTTTCAGTCCTCTCTCACCCTATAGTAACCTTGATGGGATTCAGGTGTTTAAAAATATTAGTCTCATATTTACAACTGTTTCATAACGTGGGTACCTCCACATATGGCTAACGTCAGCTATTAAGTTCTAGACATCTAATAACTATGAGATCTAAACAGAAAACAATTTGCATGTAATTTAAAATACTTTAATAGCATGATTATATCATATTATACATCAACATTAGGTGGTACAAACCATAAAAGAATTATAACACAAAGGCTTAGTTTCACATCCCATTTCTACTACCAACCAGCCAGTAGACCATTAAGAAGCCATTTTAACTTCTATGGAGCTTCTTTTCTTTTCTTTTTATTGAAGTATAGTTGATTTACAATATTGTGCTAGTTTCAGGTGTACAGCAAAGTGATTCAGTTTTTTTTGCAGATTATATTCCATTATAGGATATTACTAGATATTGGGTATAATTTCCTGTGCTATACAATAAATCCTTGTTGCTTATCTATTTTACATATAGTAGTTTGTATCTGTTAATCCCATATTCCTAATTTGTCCCTCCCCCTTCCCTCTCCCCTTTAGTAACCATAAGTTTGTTTTCTATGTCTGCAAGTCTGTTTCTGTTTTGTATATAGATTCATTTTTATTATTTTTTAGATTCCACATGTGATATCATATAGTATTTTTCTTTCTCTGACTTATTTCACTAAGCATTATATTCTCTACATATTTCTTTTTTTTAAAATTAATTAATTAATTATATTTATTTATTTGGCTGCATTGGGTCTTTGTTGTTGCACACGGGCTTTCTCTAGTTGTGGCGAGAGGGGGCTACTCTTCATTGCAGTGCGCGGGCTTCTCCCTGTGGTGGCTTCTCTTGTTACGGAGCATGGGCTCTAGGTGCGCAGGCTTCAGTAGTTGTAGTTCATGGGCTCTAGAGTGCAGACTCAGTAATGGGGCTCATGGGCTTAGTTGCTCCGTGGCATGTGAGATCTTCCTGGACGAGGGCTCGAACCTGTGTCCCCTGCCCTGGCAGGCAGATTCTTAACCACTGTGCCACCAGAGAAGTCCCTCTACATATTTCTTCATATATAAAATCACGGAGCTATCCTTGTTGTTTACATAAATAGCAGAATAAAATCTTTCATTTCCTTAGTATGCCCTGCCTCAAGAACGTGGCCAACAGATGGTGCTTAGGATGTATAAGCACCTCTGCACATCCTAAGGACAAAAGCTAAATCATATTTGCTGCTGTTCCCAATGCCTAGCTTTGAATAAATACAACCTTTTGAAATGAAATAAAACAATAATTTTTACCTCTTTCCTCTCCCAAATGAGTTTTTAAAGGATGATTTTCCTGAGTATCTTCATTTATAAGCTCTTCGGAATTGGGGTCATCATCAATGCAAATCACATCACTATTTAACCATTCTGAGTCATCCTTCTGTTTCTTAGTCAAAAATGCCTGCTTGCTCTCAGAGGAGGAAGGAGTCAAATCAGTCTTTACTGTATTTGTTTTATCAAGGTGTGCTTTTAGAAAGTTCCTCTTAGACTTTTTTGATTTCTGAGCTGTGCTTACTCTTATGAAGTGGTTTTGGCGTGGTGTCACAAATGCTTTTGAATCTCCAGAAGTATCAAAGTCATCCATATCATCCCAATCACTGAAGGTAATAAGAGAATCTGATGAAGAACTAAATTCTAATTTCTTGAAAGTAGCATCGCGGGATTCCTTTACAAGCAGTGTGTTCTGGGTAGTGCATAAAACTTCCTGAGGAACCTGTGACAAATTTGGCAATAACGGTTTTGAACCAACTCTCTTAGTTTGCTGTCCAGCTGGAGTATTTTTAAAGTCATTGATCTTTGTCTGCTGATTTGTGGTGTGGGGAAAAGGTTCACTGAAGGAAAAGGCTTCAGTAATATTAACATCTTTATCATTCAACACAGGAGCTTTTGCTACTGACACACTAGTTACACACACATCATTGGCTGAAGATACTTTCTTTTTAAAAGTGAAACCTCTGAAAAATAATCGAAAAACTGAATTAGATGGATTAATTTCAACAAACCCAGCAAGTATACAAAACCCAGCAAGTATACAAACCCAGCAAGTATACAAAACAAAACCCTAATTTATATAACAACTTACTTCCTTGCATCACAAATGAGCAAGCGAAGAATCTATCTCCCTCTCTGATTTTAAAATGTGTAAGGTAACTTAAATTATGCTTTGTATGCTCTGATTCTTCCTATTCAGAAGCTAATTATTCAGCTTTGAGAGTATCTGGACCATTCCTACTACTTTGTTTCTCAGGCTCATAGTCCTTAATTAATAGCCTCTCCAGAGGGAAGGGACGGAGTAAGCGAAAAAACGTGGCTACTTGTTTCTACTCTGATAAAAGTTTTATGGGGAAGAGTCAAAAACTGCCAGCTATGCTGAAATCTGAAAGACAAGTGAAAGAGGCAAGAGTCCTGGACATCGGATGGATTTAGTGACATGAAGGTCAATGGTGACTTTGAAGTCAAGCACACAGAATGGTGTCTAGAATCTGGTAAGGGCACAATAAAGATTATAAAATGTTAGGTACTGTTAGAAGGAGTTTGGAATATAGCTTGGAGGAAAGAACAGAACTGGAGAGCTATAGTTTCCTTAGAAATGGTTTTTGAAAAGGATATAAAATTATATTAAAATATTAAAAACACCGATCTGCCCAAATTTACACGATTTGTATTCATTCATTCAATGAATATTTACTGAACAAAAACCATGTGCTAGAAACCATGCAAAGGTGCTGAACAATACATTACCTAGCATTGCTAAAACATGCGCTACCATTAATTTGCAAAGTAGGAAAATCACTGACCCTCTCAGCTTCATTTCCTCATCTCTACAATGAAAGAGTTGAAAGAGATGGTATTTCACTTGTGTGTTAGTGCCTGGATGGAAGCAAACCACCCAAAATACTTACGAAGATTTTGGTTTTGAAGGACTTAATTTATTATTAAGTTTTCTGGCTGAATGACGTTCCAGTTGCTCCTGTAGATTATTTTGAGGAACAGCAGCCATGATCCTAAAAAGTGAGAGAAAAAAATATCAGTGGAGTTACGCACTTTGCATTAATCACACTATTTATTGGGGGGTAGAGCACTGTTCCAACTGTGTCCAGAGTAATGACGTTTTTTTTGGTCAAAAAACTGTTTTGACATTTACAACCGGTAACATTTGAAATATATAATCTTTCACCTTTTTTTTTTTTTTTTTTTTTTTGCGGTACGCGGGGCCTCTCACTGTTATGGCCTCTCCCGTTGCGGAGCACAGGCTCCGGACACGCAGGCTCAGCGGCCATAGCTCACGGGCCCAGCTGCTCCGTGGCACGTGGGATCTTCCCGGACTGGGGCACGAACCCGTGTCCCCTGCATCGGCAGGCGGACTCTCAACCACTGCGCCACCAGGGAAGCCCTATAATCTTTAACTAACTGAAGTCTCACTTAAATAGCAAATGACCTGGTTTTCCCCCAATGCTAAAATAAGCACAAAAGACATTAGGGAAGGGCTTATTAGGAAAAGGCTTGCAGAAAAATGGGACCTGGCCTAGGCTTGAAGCATAAATGGAAGCCGAATGGGAGTGAGGTGGGAGAAAATGATCAAAGCACACTGAAAACCCAAAGAACAAAGGAATAATTGAATTCTCTTCCTAAGGGGAAAATCGGGAAAAGAAGGAAGAGCACCACCAATGACAGCAATGGTTTACCAGCAAGATACCGTGCTTCATAATTACCTAGTTTCAACCTGAAAGAACACTTTTACCAAGCATATTTACACCTCTTGTGTAACAAATTGTGACACTGCTGAGCTACTGCCTGGGATAATGTGTAGCTTAAGCCACCTTAAAATTACTGGGGCCAAAGGAAGATGGGATAGCAGAATATACGGCTAGTAAACAATGCTCATTCATTTGAGCTGAGAGTTATAACCCTCTTTCCCATTCTATGTTTACCAGAGATCTCCTTTTATTTTATGCCATATATCTTAGAAGGAAGGATTAACAATACTAAATGATATTCATGGAAATATGAAGTTTTACATATATCATACTCCACTCGCTAATTATTAAAATAAGCTATGTTTAACAACTGCTTTACTTTAGATAACAGTGAAAAAAGAAAAACTTGGTAGAAAGTTCCACTGGGAAATCTCCATGTGTTGAGCTTGATGAAGATGATTATGATATAGATTTTGTTCCACCTTCTCCAGAAGAAGGAATGATTTCTGCCTCTTCTTCCTCTTTAAAATGCTTTAGGTGAAACAGCTAATTAATAAACACTGAATAATTCACACTGATATGTGAATTATATCTTAATAATGTTGTTACCAACCCACCACCCACTTTCAACATTTATCAACTCATCAACTATTAACAGCTCATCCAATACTGTTTCATCTGTACACACATCCTAAGGTCCTCACTTCACCATTCTAGAAGTCAACCTCCCAAAATAGTGATATTTTAATTCTGTCATTCCTTCTTGATTCATTAGCTGGAATAGTTCTATCAAGAGAAATGTTCTCTGATCTATTATTTTGTTACCCAGTGGTACAGCTGACATAGAAAAGACAGGATAAATGTTGGATTCTTTTCCTTTATTTATTAGTTTTCAAAATAATGAGTTAATTCTCTAGCAGCCTCTAATGGTTGTGAATCTTCTTCTCAGCATCATTATAAACTCATGAATTAACCATTAGGTATGTTTTAATCCAATATAATTATCATCCTTATCGATTCTGAAACTGTTTCACGTTTGCCCAGTGGGAGCCTTTCCAGGTTGACTCTTCAGTACTTTTGACATAAACTTAGTAGGTTTTGAGAGCTTCCTTACTAACTGGAATGAAAAGACACCCCAGACTTATCTTGTGCATTTTTTTGTCCCAGACTTAGAATCAGCCACTTCCCCAAGGAGCCCTGATTTTTATTTTTAGTGGTGAATATTTTAAGACCACAGTCCCTGCACATCCAAAGGCACCTCTCCATTTTACATCCAGTTTAAAAGCACTGGCCTTTCACTGAAGTATGCTCTCTCCAAGGTCCTGTCCAATATGGAAGTTTTTCACAGAATAAATGATAAAGAGTGAAGTCACACTACTGCCCTCTCAACATTTCAACCTCAAACGATTAGATGGCTGACACGGAGGCAGAGGCACACAGTCCTTCAGCCTTAACACAAAGCAGGACAAAATGGTCCATGGCATCATTACTTAACCTTTCCCCACATTCCTTCTAAGTTTGTATTGTTCCTGTCTCAACTTTCTACAATTTTTCATACCTTATTTATTTTTATATCAAAACTGGCCATGGTATTCTTTTTTTTTTTAGAAAGAGGGTTTATTTATTTATTGGCTGTGCCATGCGGCATGCAGGATCTTGGTTCCCTGACCAGGGATCGAACCCGTGCCCCCCTGAAGTGAAAGCACTGCGTGCTAACCACTGGACCACCAGGGGATTCCCCTAGCCATGGTATTCTAATAGAGTTTTCCAATATTATTCCACAGTACGATTTGATATGCATGTTTAGTCATCTCAATAGTACATGTGTTTGATTCGTAACTGTAGTGACACATTATGGATTCATAGTTGGCAATGTAGTCAACCTTAACCCTGGGGCACCCTTCCCTATTTTCAAGCTACACTGCTCTTTGGTTATTCCCACAGGGTAGCATCCTCTAGTCAGTCATATTCTGAAGCATGGTAGCAAGTACACAATTTTCCTTCTCAACAGCCTTCAGCAGTAATGCTTTTAAGGAGTTAGTGAGTACTGAGAAGCAAAAAATATCAATAAAATTGTTTGACACGCAAAAAAATTGTTCATCAACAGCAAAGATCAGTGATACAAAATTAAAAGAAGAAAATAAATGGAAAATAAATAGAGACTAGTGCAAAGTTTCACAATACTAAAGGGGATGAACAATGAGAGCCCAGAAACGGATAAGGCTTCTGAATTAGACTCACCACAAAAATCACAAGTATAATTTGGAAAATGATTAAAAATTTCTCTCATGTACATGAAGGAAGTTATCATGGCATTGTAAAACAATATAAATAAGTAAAAAGCTGATTGAACAGTGCAAAAAAAATTATTGAATGAAACAAGTAAACTAGAAAACCATATCCATACATAGTAAGAATAAATAAATCAATGAAAAAAAGGTATGAGAGAATGACAACAATCTAGGGCTGGAATATAAAAAATATATCCAGCGAATGAGACTTCTTGAAGTAGTAAAAAAACCATTCACAAATAATAAATGATTAAAGGAGTCCTATCTCAACAGTATCTTGAACAAATAAAAATAATTCAGGCCAGAAATTGAGAGGACCTTTATTGAACCAGATAAGACTAAGACATAGTCTCCTGAAATTAAACTAAAGGGCAACATTCTTTTTAAAACCCTACAAGTGGCTAAGCAAGAAACATATCACATTTACAGTAACAAACAGAATTACTTCTAACTACTTCTCTGATCTTAAGTATATGTCTCAATATAGTTTTACTTATGTATATAACTGCATGAACAACATTCAAATAGAGATATAGAACATTTTTAGCATATCAGTATGCTTTCTTGTGCCTTTTCCCAGTTAATACACCCCAGATATAACCATTAACTGACTTATTCACCATAGGTTAGTTTTGCCTATTCCTGAACTTATATGGATATACGGAATCACACAGTATGTATTATCAATGCATATTTGAAATGGCACCTGTTAAACTCAAAACATTTCTAACAGATATATTAAAACATAAAATTAGAAGTACTTAAAATCAAGACCCAATACAATATCTTATATTTTACAACAGGGATGAATCCATTAAAAATAGGGGCTAAAATGAGACTGTTCTCTTATTTTCACTCTCATGTTAGACATTCTTACCAATGCAAAGATATTCAAAAAGGGAAATACTAGAAAAGAAGAGATGAGGATATCATACATGTAGACAATTCGATTATATACCAACACAATTCAAAGAAAATCAGTCATAACAATAGATAATTAAAACTTCAGTAAAGTGGGTAAATAAAAGATAAATATAAACCCACAAAAGTCAAATGCATTCTCATGTAGTAGTAATAACGAGCTAGAAAATATAATTTTTAAAAAGCATTCAATCTGGGCTTCCCTGGTGGCGCAGTGGTTGGGAGTCTGCCTGCTGATGCAGGGGACACGGGTTTGTGCCCCGGTCCGGGAAGATCCCACATGCCGCGGAGCGGCTGGGCCCGTGAGCCACGGCCGCTGGGCCTGCGCGTCTGGAGCCTGTGCTCCTCAACGGGAGAGGCCACAGCAGTGAGAGGCCCGTGTACCGCAAAAAAAAAAAAAAAAGCATTCAATCAACAATAGCAACGAAAAACATTAAACTACCAATTAACCTAACAAAAGACATACATCTTCATGATATAAAGAAAATGACCAAATATTACTAGGATAAATAAAGATTTGGATAGAGAAATATTTCATGTTCTTAAATGAAAGGTTTAAGTATCACAAAGGTAACAGTTTTTCATAAATTAATTTGTGAGTTCAACAAAATTCCAATTAAAACACCACAAGAATATTTCACAAAACTCAACAAAAACACTTCTAAAATTCATTTGACAAAAGCATGAAACAAGAATACTAAATAACAATGGGTGGGAACTAGCATTAGAAATATTATAATCATATTAAATGTAACTAATTTAAATGGCATGGTACTCAGCTTTTTTTTTTTTAAACATTTATTTATTTATTTGGTTGCACTGGGTCTCAGTTGCAGCAGGCAGGCTCCTTAGTTGTGGCTCACGGGCTCCTTAGTTGCAGCATGCAGGTTCCTTAGTTGTGGCATGCAAACTCTTAGTTGCAGCATGCATGTGGGATCTAGTTTCCGGACCAGGGATCAAACCCAGCCCCCTGCTTTGGACACGGGTTCGACCCCTGGTCCAGGAAGATCCCACATGCCGCAGAGCAACTAAGCCCGTGTGCCACAACTACTGAGACTGTGCTCTAAAGCCTGCGAGCCACAACTACTGAGCCTA